GGAAAACTGGAAAACTTGCCGGAAAATTGAAGAACTTGCCGGAAAAAGTAAACTTACTTGTTTTCCGACGATTGAGGACGATGGGAGGTTGGCCGGCGACGGAGGAACGGTGCCGGCGACGGAGGCACTGGGCTCGTCGACAAAAGTGTTTTTGTTGGAATGAGTCAAATGTTAATGATATTCGAATTTATAGAATGAAAGGAAGGGAGAATTCAAAATTCGAATTCAAAGTTTGAATTCAACTTTTTTTTTTTAGTTGGCGGCAAATAGCAATTTGGTTGGCGGCAAATAGCCGTTCACATGCACTCTACCCTATACCAAACCGTAGTCCATATTCCTTTTATAACATATGATTAAAACGCCTATAATAGATGAAAGAGCAAACGTTTCAATGAAGTTCTTCCCAGTTTATTTGAGAGGCGTATTACTTTCTGCCAATGTTTTTAGGGTTATAGGTATAATATGCCCATTTACTATGACGTTTTATCAAACATGCCCCTCTACTATTTTTTACATCAAACATGCCCTGTACTTTGTAAAAAAATGATCAAACATGCCTTTTTGTTAAAATTTTCATCCAAAAACCACAATGAAAAGTATATACAAGGAGCACACAAACAGTGATCTCAATTCAGTCATCTATGAGATACTGAGATAATCCCATTCAACTAAAATGTATTTGATAGTTTTAAACATCACTATACACACAAACTCAATTCATTAGTGAATGAGTAACATAACAAGACAATCAATTTGAACAAAATACAACTCAAATACACTTTTCATTAAACAAGTTGATTCACAAACTGATTCAGTTGACAAAAACTATAAATATCAAATAAATCTTTCTCGAATCAAACGCTTTTCACGAACTACTTGGTTCATTAGCAGCTTTACATGCATGAACACCTAGGGTGTCTAGGCAGAAGCAAATACAAGTAAATTCCAATAAATCCAGTCATAATTCTCTTCAGCATGGCATTCAAAAGAAGTAGGGGAAAAAAAGGAACAAAGACGGAGTCCTTGGTAAGAAAGTATTTCACAAGGGGACAAATTTTCAATTGGATTAAAAATAGCAGCAAAGAGGCAGAGACTGTTTTCCTTTCCATTGTCGTGTGACTTGTGAGTGGATTAAAAATGGTCATTCATGTTCGTTTGTCTGTCGTATTAACGGGAGAGGAATGCATGAGATGGAATGAGTCTCAACTCAAGAATATCTTGCATATAAGGTTAACTAGCTTTTTATCCGGCCCGTTGGCCGGAGAGATTTATTTTATAATTTATGTTAATTAATTTATATGTTTAAATCATCTGGATCTTCTACTATTTTGTGTTCTTGATTCATAACAGATTTTGTAGTATGTCTATATTGAAAATTTCCAATATTTAGGACACTCACTTGTGATGCTTCGGTTTTCTAATCATAAATTATGTCGTTGTCACGTCCCATCTCTAAAAGTAGCACGAAGACATCAAATTTTGGATTTTAATTGGTAACATTAGTCTGATATGATGATATAACATATGGTCACAACTAATCAATCCATTACCCTAACCCTTAAACCTTCAATTTTGAACACAAACAAAAAATCCCAAATTATAAACCCTAACCTAACCCTAAATCCCTAAATTCTTCAAATTAAAGACAATCTTGAATGTGTTTTTTGCAAATTCATGTGTTTCTTGTTCATAATACCATAAGCGACGATTGATACCATTTTGACATGAATCACATGCTCGGAATGACGATTATGAGGCGAATGCATTGAATGCACCCAAAAAAGTGGGTGCACCGCATACACCACCACATATATATTATATATCTTTGCCACATATATATAGTTCAAGCGAGCGTGGGCCAAGAGTACACTATACTCTTGCATTCACACTACCATACGACCATTGAGTTTTACTATTTAAACCTCGAATTAACCTGAGTTTTTTGGGGCATGATACTATACCTTAACCTCTAATATGTGAACTCCAATCCCTAGTTTTCTAACATCTAATTTATGCACATACTTCGTCATACCTATCTTCTATCGTATCTTGCAGAAAATCAAAAGTATAGTATACCTTGATATTATATATATGTGTGTGTATATATATATATATATAGTACTCAAAATTATTAAGATACTTCGTCAGACCTATCTTATCTCGTCTAATACTCATATTAAAAGTACTACTTGCCTACCCCCACCCCCAGGATAGAGATCCCGCTTTTACCCACATAACATCAGACAACCATTGGGGTTGTCTATCATTCTATATGTAATATATAAAGAGGCAAATCCTAAGATCATGCTATTTATATCTTATCCTCTCCCGCCGCCCCCTTTATGGAGAATAAAAGGGTAGGGATGACAGGATCATAGCTTGATATGGTTTTATTCTGTTCGTCGTAGCGGAGGTTATGTTCTTTTCTTTTCATTCTTTTTTGGCACCTATGGTTGTGATCAGAGGCATTTAGCACTCAAAAGGGATTGGGATTTTAGGTCCTTTGGAAATCCAATACACATTCATGATCCTCGAGTTTGGACGAACTCTCGACCAATGTTGTAAAGATTAGTGAGAAGTTGAGATTATTGGATAAATATGTTTATCCCAATTGACTATCTTACTAAAAAACTGCCAACCTTTATTTGGTAAATGTCTAGGTTAGTAATTGATAAAACATGATGTTTATCATAGATTCTCAACAAAAATTTCTCTAACCTTCACATATATTTTATTTTTCAAGGAATCTTGTGTCTTAGCCTAGGGTTTGAAGTCAAAGTTCGTCAACAATCATACTTAAGTCATTTTGAACATTTTGATTTATAATTGCCGACGATAAATCTAAGTCTGAAAGAAAATTTCTTAGCATACGACTTAGGACCTCAATAAAGCTTGCTCAATCAAAATGTAACTTACCATTCAACTTTAGTAAAAATGAGTAGAAAATTTACTTCATAAGGTTTAATAATATATTTTTTATTTAAACAAATGTAATATATGTCACTCTCTGTTTTCTTATTTATATTTTTTTACTTGACAAAAAAATTATTATTTATGTGTGTTTGGTTAAGTTTATCAACATGTAACTTACCATTAAAGCCAAAAGGAATAAATAGATAAAATGAAAAAAGAATAATTGGATAAAAGTAATAAACATATTAAAGAAGAGAGAGATAGCTACATAAATACATTAATAACTTTTTTTTTTTTTTTGTAAAAAGTTGTCCAACTTGGCAAATTGTGGATCCTCCAAGTACTTATGTGGCAAGAGATTGCTTTTGAATTGCCATAATATATAGTATAGATAGATATATGCTCTTGATTAGTAAAACGCCTATAATAGATGAAAGAGCAAACGTTTCAATGAAGTTCTTCCCAGTTTATTTGAGAGGCGTATTACTTTCTGCCAATGTTTTTGGGTTATAGGTATAATATGCCCCTCTACTATGACGTTTTATCAAACATGCCCCTCTACTATTTTTTACATCGCAAACATGCCCCCTGTACTTTGTAAAAATGATCAAACATGCATTTTTGTTAAAATTTTCATCCAAAAACCGTTAACCAAGGCCGAACTTTAGTTTGGGCGACACAAATGTAAAATATCCCTAATAAATTCATTTTAGAATTTTTTTGGTTCTTTTGTATAATCAAATCATTCAAATAATTTCACTTAAAAAAACATAGGAAAATAAAACAGGGGACAAAACTGACATTTTCCCTCCCATTTACCGATGTCGGGTCGTCTAAATCTCAATTCAACCATGATTGACGATTTTTTCAATGGAAATTTTAACGTAAGGGCATGTCTGATAATTGTTTCAAAGTACAGGGGCATATTTGATGTAAAAAATAGTAGAGGGGCATGTTTGATAAAACGTCACAGTAGAGGGGCATATTATACCTATAATCCATGTTTTTACTATTTATCGTCAATTTTTTTAGAAAATGTATTTTTATTCTTAGTTCATTCTTTTATATAATAACCACTTCCAGACATGGTCCATGAAACCGTATCGTACCGGCGGTTCAACCACAAAATACCAGTATCGGAGGCTAAACTGGTAGGCGGTATTTAACGGTACTAACGGTTCAACTACGGTTTTGTCATAAAATACCTTAACGCTGACTTTCCCGATACGATTTCCGGTACGGTTTCATGGATCATACTTCCAGAGCTCTTTTTTTTTTATCACAAACACCAAACACATCTCAAACTCCTTAAAAACCCAATGTTCGTTGAACCATTGTGCGATAAACTCGAAAAATTATGCAAAGGATTCCCCTAGGCAACAAGAATTATGCACCCTACACTAGACCACATATATGGATAAAAATCAAACATATTCAAATAAGCTAGCTGATCTCAACTCCGTCCAATCAGATTCATTGCCATCCTAATAAACCCTATGAAATATTCCCTCTTATCGCTATTTTCGAACCAATAAATGAATACTAGCTAGCTCTACTATAATTAATCGCACACGTGATTTAACATTTAGCATTCGTCAGAAACCTAGTGAGTACACGAAGTGAGGCAAATTCTCAATATTTCCATAGTGAAGAAAAACGTAACCAACTCCACTCATAACTAATAGTTGACAATGACATGCATGCCATTCCAAACTACAATATTCCAACGCCTCGTGCTACTAGCGGCTAATTACTTTTGACTCATTCCTTGTCACCTTATCATTACATAATCACTGATTAAAAGTGGTCATTAATGAAAACCCCTATTAACACCCAATCCCAGCTTCTATATAATGCCCTATTATCTTCTCTATAGTTTCTCATCAGTAGTACAGTTCCTCCAAGCTAAGTTTCCTGAACAGGGTTAGTTAGAGTTACTACGTAAATTCGTGTGTTCTTTACTTTCTTGTTGATTATTGTCTTTCTTGCATTATGTCGATTAACCCTGATCCGTGTACGTGGCAAGAGTTACGATGAGACTAAACGCGAGCCGTTTAGCGATGGTATGTTTGATCCATTTACTAGCTATGGCATTGCCCTGTGAATCAGCTCATGATGATGATGACCCAACCAGAAGTTTCGTTTCCTTGCCCTTCAACACGTCATACTATCACATCCAGAGCCCCTACGATTTGCCGCTGGAGAAGCGGTACAGCTTCGTCAATGGAGTTCACAAGTGCTGGGTTTACTCTACTGACAAGCCGCATACCCGCACCAGCAGGACCAAGCCCCGAACCGAGATCGCTATCCAGGTTCGAAACGTTCGACTCAACGCGTAGCCTTCCTTCCTTTTCCCGTACGTTAAGAGATTTTTCTCATAAATTATGTCGTGTCCTGGGTTCGTGTCTGTGTGCATAAAGTTTAGACCTGGCATGACTCATAAATTATTCGCGGATGATTCAATTTGGGCTTCTTGTCATTACTCATTAGGGTTACCAATACAACTCAGGCACATGGGAATTCGAAGCGTATGGTTACGTGCCCAAAGGGACATCCGGCGTGTCGATTATGCAGGTGTTTGGAAGCAAACCACCAACGGCTACTTCATTGATGCTAATGGTTTACGACGGCAACCTCCATTACTACAGCAAGGGTCAGGTCGTGCTCGCGAACATCTACAACAAGTGGTTCAAGCTGAATGTGATCGACGATTTCGATTCCAGGAAGATCAAGGTCTACATCAACGACGAGCTCAAGCTGGAGGTTCTTGGCCGCGGAGGCAAATATCACGCATTCAAATGTGGAGTTTATGCCCAAAGGAACGCTTCTCGTCACATGAAGTCTTGTTGGAGAGACATTAAGATTTTCAGAAAGAGAGCCTAGATGAATCATGTGTACGTGTAGCAATAAACCAGCTAGTTGTAAGAAGTCCTAGCCAGCTAGTTGTGTGGGAATTTGATGTTTTGTAATGTACGAGTAATTTGGTATTTAATAATGTACGAGCAAGCCCAGCCATGATATTATAATGGAATGTCTAATGTTTTTATCTCACGTCTAATGTTTTTTTTTTTTTTTAATCTCACTATGTGATTAGCAAGTTATTTGGTAGAGTTGGAATAGGAGAGTGGATTATGTGAGTAACCAAATTGATTATTGATCATGTATAATTCTTTTTCCAATTAAATTTGACGGACTATATCATCATTTATCACTTTTTACCACCATCTATAACTAGTTATCCCATTATATATATCATGGTGCTATAAGGTGATATATTTGCCCTATAAGTTTTTTTTCCATAAGTGTGTACATCATAATAGATACCACGATAAACTTGTTCCTTCTATGCAATTTTTTTTTTGAAGATTTAAGTTAAAAAAAAAGGTGGTATCAACCAGGTCTGCCCAACAGAATGTGCGAGAGGCCCTCCCGCACAGGGCCTATTAGGGGGCCTCTACCTAGCTAGATTTGTTGGTTAATCCAATTGTATATCTTAGCTAGGTTGTATTTGTAGTGTATAATTAATTGATAATGATGAGGAGTTTATATATTAATTAACCTTAGTATTGGTTATTGGTTAATATTCTCATGTATATATATATACTAGCTAGACACGTATATTGATTTTTAAAGTATTGATTGTGTTACGAAAATCATATTTGTATTAAAAATAATACAAGAAAATCTTAATGAAATAGCTATGATAAAAATTGTAAATGTTCTCATGGAGAATACAGAAATTAGAAAGGTAATATGTAATTTTATTTAAAAAAAAAAGATATTACATTTCAATTAACGATAATATAATTATTTTAATTTTATTATACTTAAAAGTCAATTTCTACAACATCTCAATTTTAGAACATGGTCTCCACAATTCATTTGACGACCCTGATAATGAGAGAAAGAAAAAAATTGTAATTAATTTGCTTTTTAACTTTCTGAAATGTAATTTATTAAAAATATTAATAAATATATTTTTCTTTTCCATATCCTATTTGCCTTTGGTGATTGCTACAATACTACTCCATACCCGCTCCCAGTTCCACATCAACTAATAGTTCACACTTCACATGCCCGTTCCAAACACCAATATTCCAACGCCTCGAGCAACTAATGGCTAATGAATTAATTTTGCCTCATTCCTGATCACCTAATAATCACCTAATCAGTATTCACTGATTAATAATCACCTAATGAATTAATTTTGCATCATGATAACGATGAAAACCTTCTTTTCTTAAAGAAAGTCCGGCTGTACCCCTTTTGTCTCGTGTCGTGCTTTACACGGTCCGTCAGTTTTAGTGTTGTGTTAGTCATGTTTCAAATTTGCTAGGTTTGGATCGGGGCACAGTTTGGATCGTGTCGTGCTCGTATTCGTGTCTATTAATGAGGAGGAAGAAAATAAAAGAAGGAATGAAAAAGAATGAAAAAATTGGACAGAGAATGAAAGTATGAATTGAGAATATGTTTGAGAAAAGTAACAAACAACTAGAAGAAGAAAATTGAAAGTATAGTGGGTATGGTTTGTTCTCCATATATATTTTTTTTAATTCTTCGACATTTTTATTTATGGTACTATATGTACATATAGTATCTTTATGATCACTTGTAATATTAATAAATAATTATTTTTCGTAGTTCTATATTATAGGTAATGACTAGTATACTCCACGAGTATACCATACCACATGTGATATGACCGTTAGATCTCCTTTTTTGATCTCCGACAAATCTCAACGGTCAATTAATATTTTTATTAAATTGAACTTTGGGTTTGAGTTTAGAGAATCGGGCCTGAGGTCTATCCATTAGAGGTTAGGGTATAATATCATACCCAAACCTCGATTTAATTCGAAGTATAGATAGAGATATCTTACTATGACTACCCGAAGTATAATATACTCAAAGAGTACACCAGCCTGACTCATATATTATAATATTTGAATTTATAATTCTCTTTAAATTTATTATCTATAAAGAAGTATTTTTCGTGTTATGTCGTGCTTATTTAAGTCTCTGTACATAAAATTTAATTTGTGCTTCTTGTCTCTAGGGTTATCAATACAACTCAGGCACATGGGAATTCGAAGCGCATGGTTAAGTGCCGAAAGGGACAACCGGTGTCTCGATTATGCAGGTGTTTGGAAGCAAACCACCAACGGCTACTTCATTGATGCTAATGGTTTACGACGGCAACCTCCATTACTACAACAAGGGTCAAGTCGTGCTCCCGAACGTCTACAACAAGTGGTTCAAACTGAACGTGATCGATAATTTCGATTAATGGGAAGATTCGGGTCTACATCAATAACGAGCTCAAGCTGGAAGTTCTTGGCCGCGGTGGGAAATTTCATGCATTCAAATGTGGAGTGTATGCCCAACGGAACGCTTCTCGTCGCATGGAGTCTCGTTGGAGAGACATTAAGATTTTAAAAAAGAGAGCCTAGATCGATCGTTGCGTGTAGTAATAAACCAGATCCAGTATACCAGAAAAAGAAAAGGATGTTTAAATTTAACGACGGTTCGTCGTTGAACAATTGGCGGGAAAACTCGTCTACAATTAATAACCGCAGTCAATCAATTTAACTTAATCAATAATTATTAACGACAACCCGTCTTCGTGTAATTATAAATCGGAAAATCCGGACGAAAACCGGGGCTCCAAAAACAACAATATTTTACCGGAAGGTGAAAAAAAAAATGCTTCCTTCTCCTCCCAATCGTGGAGAGTGGGATCGGAAAGTTCGCCTCGCTGCGACTCGCCGTAACTGGCCACTCCGCCTCTGTGCGGCGCCGGAATCGGCCTCACCCCGATGGGGCTTTTAAAAACCCCACCCTGGGGTCCTTGATTCTTATCGCTCCGCTGTTATTGCGCCCCACCCTTCCCTCCGATTGTGAAGATTTTCTCCGAAAGTAGTATCGCTTTTCCAGCCATGGCCGCTGTCAACAGAGTCGTCTTTGGAGATGAGGATGTTGCCGCTGGAGCGCTCCGAAGAGATCTGTCTCTCCTTGGGCGAGTGATCGGCGAGGCTCCATCGATCGCGAATCTCCAACACACGCTGGGCAGGCTATGGCGTTGCCATGGTGCGATGTCGATCAGCCCGGTGAGCGACGGTTTGCTGCAATTCATCTTCCCCACCGTTGAGGACCGAGATCGAATTCGTAAGCAGTCTCCTTGGTTCCTCCCCAAATTTCTGGTTAACCTAGTGCCGTGGGTGACGGTTACACCAGAAATCGCGGAACAGTTATGGCGTGTCCCGCTAGGGCTTCATTTCTGGGAAGTTCCCTTTGACTGCTGTACCAAGAAGATGGCCATTCTCCTGGGTCAGGCTTTGGGGAGAACTTCTTCCCCATCGGTCCATCGCATCCCAGAAACGGGAGAGATTTACCTCCGGGCTCAAGTGGGGATTGATGGTCATCTCCCTCTTCCGCTCTCGGTGCCTGCCTCCCACGAAAAGCCTGAGCGTGGGGAGTTTGAAGCTGTGGTGAAGTACGAGCGACTCCCGCAATTCTGCTTCCTTTGTGGCATGTTGGGGCACATCGATCAGGTATGTCCACGTCGTGAGGAGCTTGGTGATGCCGAGCCGGTTTATGGGGGGCACATTCTGATTCAAATGAAGGGCCCCAAAGTCAATGAACACACACTCATGCGCAAGAGGTTGTTCACCTGGGTTCGCAAGGATGAGAGCAAGGCAGCGGTTAAGCAACCATGTCTCCTCCTGGGGTCTGGGCAAGCTTCCACCAACAAGCAGCGGATGCGAGACCAGGTGCAAGATGCACAGATGGCTTCCCCGGCATCTAAACGTCCCAGGCAGTCAGATATGGCAATTGATATTCAGGCAGATTTCAGAGCAATGGTGGTGGCTACCAGCCAGAACTGGGCCCAATCGCCCAAATGAGTATATTGGTTTGGAACTGTAGGGGGCTGGGCTCTACCCTTACAGTTCCCTCGTTGGTTGGAGTCGTCCATCGTTTCTCTCCGGCAGTTCTCTTTCTTAGTGAAACCAAGAGAGATGATGAATTTGTAAATAGGAAGCTTATGCGTCTAGGATTCCCTTTTGTACATTGTGTCCCTGCTGCTGGTAGGTCCGGTGGATTAGCAGTAGCCTGTTCTTCTAATGTCCTTTGTCGTGTCGTAGCTGAGTCCTCTGCGTATCTATTTGTTGAATGTCAGCATGTAGTTTGGGGAGTTATGTCCTTTATCTTTGTTGATTTGCATTATGATGTACAGCTAAGGGTTGCTCAGTTCAATGAAATCCTTTCTTTGGTCTTATCTTGTGCTTCTCCCATCGTCGTTATAGGTGATTTTAATTGTCTCCTGTTTGCTTCAGAGAAACAGGGAGGGCGAATCCCATCATTCCAAGCAATGGAGCATTTCCGGTTATTTCTTGAATCTGCGGGCCTCATTGACTTGGGATTCAAGGGATCTCCGTTCACCTGGTCAAATGGACAGGGTTCGAGTACTCATATCCTTGAGAGACTTGATAGGGGCCTTGCTAACGAGAACTTGCTTGATGTTTGGCCTTCTTTACAGGTGTGTCACCTAACCGACCTAGGCTCGGATCATCGCATGCTGCTGCTTCAATTTGTCTCGGGTGCTGGCAAGGGGAAGCCACGGTTCAACTTTGACCGACGATGGTGCTATAATGATGAAGCAAGAGTGATAGTTGCCCAAGAATGGCAGGCAGTGTATGCAGGCACTCCTCAATTCCATTTGTACTCGACATTGAAAGCTGCTAGACATCAGTTGGTGGCTTGGGCGAGGAAGGGAACAACGAACTCAGCTCGTCATATCCGTGAGTTTAGGGCTGCCATCAAAGCTGAACGGGAATAAGAAGTGATTGATTGGGAGACGATCAAGCAACTAGAAGTTCAGCTCTCCGAGGCCTATCGACAAGAGGAATCCTACTGGATTCAGAAATCCCGGGTGGATTGGCTTCAAAAAGCAGATGCGAATACCGGATTCTTCCATGCCAAAGTTCGACAGACAAGAAGGTTTAACCGGATTGAGGTTCTTCGAGATGAGAATGGTGGAGTTAATTATGATGAAGATAGCAAGGGGTCTGTGGCTGTTTCGTTTTACCAGCAGCTCTTCTTGTCCACTGCAATCCCTCCACACTTCCTCGTCAGCGCGCTCGGGCTCCCTCGCAAGGTCTCGGTTGAGCAGAATTTGTTTCTCACTGCCCAAGTGTCATCCGACGAGATAAAAAAGGCTATCTTCAGTATCGGGCCGAATCAAGCGCCTGGTTCGGATGGGTTTACGGCTGCCTTTTTCCAGTCGTCTTGGGATGTTATTGGGCACTCAGTACTGGCAGCAGCCTTGTCTTTCTTCAGATCAGGACGTCTTCTACATAACTTTAACCACACACTCCTCACGTTGATTCCTAAGGTGCCAAATGCGGAACTTATGAAGCAAATGCGGCCTATAGGTCTGTGCCAGGTGTTCTACAAGGCCATTGCCAAAGTTTTGGCGGTGAGGTTGAACCAAATCTTGCCGAAGGTAATTAGTGAGGCTCAGAATGGTTTCGTGAAAGGCAGAGACATCTCGGATAATATTCTTATAGCCCAAGAAGTCATGCAATTTCTCAAGACTAAGTCACAGGGAAGGGATAAGTGGATGGCAGTGAAACTCGACATGGAAAAAGCGTATGACCGGGTGGAATGGGGGTTCCTATTTGCAGTAATGGAAGCGTTGGGCTTTGATAGGCAGTGGATTAAGTGGATGAAAGCTTGTGTGACCTCAGTCTCCTTCTCTCTTATTCTGAATGGTACGGAGCATGGCTACTTTAGACCTCAGCGGGGTATTCGGCAGGGTGATCCCTTATCCCCCCTGTTGTTTGCCGTATATTCCGAAGCTTTTTCCTCGATGATTGATGCTGCCATATCCTCGAATCAGCTCCACGGGTTGAAAGTCCATCGTCATGCGCCCAACGTATCGCATTTGCTGCGGGCATCATCAACAGAGTGCTCCTCTCTTCTCCATCTCCTCGGGCTGTATGAACAGTCAAGTGGAGCAAAGGTCAATCTTTCTAAATCCTTCGTTTACTTCAGCGCTAATGTCACTGACCAGGAAGCTGTTTTGTTGTCTGGGCAGCTAGGGATCTCCGCTGTCGGTCCGCTGGACAAGTATCTCGGACTTCCTGCCCAAGTCCAAAGATCCAAGGTTTTAACCTTCCAGTATGTAGAAGATGCTCTTGCAGGTAGAATTCGAAGCTGGAAGTCCAAGGCCTTGTCACCGGTGTATACGATGTTATCTTTCAGGCTGCCCTCCACAAGTTGTCGAAGGCTAAATAGCCAGGTGTCCCGGTTTTGGTGGGCAGGGCAAGACAAAGAGAGGGGTATCCCATGGATATCTTGGCCGGCGGTGTGTACAAGCAAGTTCGAGGGAGGACTCGGTTTCAAAGACTTTGATCTGTTCAATATCGCTATGCTAGCCAAATAGGCGTGGAAGCTTGTTCAGGATCCCTCGTCCTCCTTGGCTCGCATCTATAAAGCTCGGAATTATCACAATTCCTCTTTCCTCAAGGCGCCAGTGGGTTCTCGCCTTTCCTGGGCATGGCAGGGAATCCTCGAAGGGCGGAAATTGCTGGTCAAGGGTCTTCGATGGCAGGTGGGGTGTGGGACAACCATTGACATTCTTCAGGATCCATGGCTTCCTTCTTCTCCTCCGTCCGCTCCGAAGCTTCTGGATGGTGTTTCCCTCGCAAATCCATATGTGGCATCCCTTATTCATCCGTTGACAAGAACTTGGAACTTTGACCTTCTACGCAGCCTTTTCCACATGGAAAGTGTAAAGTGGATCCTGTCCATTCCACTTCCTTCCTCTTCTATTCCGGACAAGCTCATTTGGCATTATTCGTCATCAGGGCTCTACACTGTCAAATCAGGTTACCAGGTTCTTTCGGCGGCGAGATCAGCATCCTTTGCACCCGTCTCGCCTCATTTGGACACCAAGTTTTGGAAATTAATGTGGAATCTCCCCGTTCCGCCAAAACTAAAATTCTTTTTGTGGAGGCTCGTTCGCGGGTTTCTTCCGCTGCGAGCTGTGTTGAAACAAAAAACTCTTTGTGATGATGACATTTTTCCTGTCTGTTCGGAGACCTCTGAGTCAATATCTCATTGCTTTTTCAATTGCAGGATAGCTCGTGGTCTGTGGGAGCTCGCCGGGAAGGATCACATTCGCCAGGCAGTTTGCATTCTTCCCCCAGATGCTGCTTGGCGGCACATTTGTTTTGGTTTGCAGCTGTCTAAGGTCCAGATTGCGGAGATAGTCTTCATCACTTGGCGACTGTGGAAAGGCAGGTGTTGGACGGCGTATGACCAGGTCCAATATTTGCCGGCTGCGCTTCATCGGCAGCTTTCCTCTCAGGTCAGCGAGTGGTCTGCAGCAACTGGGAATTTGGCTACCAATAGCACAGCTGGTCGGCAACAAGGCAGGCAGCCTCTGCCGGTCGTCTGTCCCCCGGGTGGTCTCTTGGTACGGTTTGACGGCGCCTACCGCAACAATGTTGGAGGTAGCACGGGTTTCGTGGGACTTGCGGAAGACTCATCGCTGGTATGTGCATATGGGAAGTTCTATACATGTTTGGCTGATCCTTTCCTTTCTGAACTTCTTGCCCTCCGGGATGCAATGGTATGGTGTTTACATCATGGTTTCTATAATGTTTGTTTCTGTGGTGATTCGCAACCGGTGATCCGGCGGGCGACGGAGAATGATGTTCATCACGAGTCTGGTGGGGCGATCCTAGAGGAAGTGAGGCTCCTGAAGTCAAGCTTCCAGTGCATTAAGTTTGTTTTTGCCCCCCGTAGGACTAACAGAGCTGCCCATTTAGTGGCAAAAACGGCCCTTGCATCGGTAGCTCGACAATCGGTCGACTACAACTATTTACTTTTTCACCAAGTGTAATCAACTGTCTATCTACGATCTATCTATGGCAAAAAAAAAAAATATCGAAAAATCTGACCTAAAACAGACCGGACATCGCCTTGGCCGAACCGAAGAAGGTGACCGGTCCGGCTACTGATGATCCAGCCGGCGAATGATGCAAAAGGATTCCCCTAGTTAAAACAATTACGCTCATATATAGTAGTTGGCATGCCCTTCCAAACTAACTTACTATATTCCAACGCCTATCGCCTAGCTAGCCGCTAATTTCAACTCATCCCTTATCATCACCACCTTGGTTAATTATCGTTATCACTACTAATATTGGTCTTCTTCCTGCAAGTTTTCCCCAGAAGAAAGATGGCGATTAGTTCTGACAAGAGCAGAGTCATGAGACTAAGTATGATCAGCAGTTTACTTATAAAATATTTGATCCATGAGTGTTAATTTTTTTCTTTAAGTCTTTTATTTCTCCGTGGTAGTAAAATATATATGAAAATGCAAAAACAATACTCCTTTTTATTGCTAAAAAGAAAAAATTTAACAATAAACTAATGCATGGATTCTAATGGGCTAACCGTTAACTATAAAATAAAAGAGTTGAATGGGCCTGACCTACACGGGATTTGGCCATTAAGTAAAACAAATGAACATATGGGTTTGGCATTCTAAAACAAGCTATTTTCTCTAGCATAATATATATTATGCTATTATTTTATATCTTAGTGGCTAAAATATAATGTATTTTAAAGTTATTCAATGGTTCAACCTCGAACAACCCAATTAGTCCAATTTTTATCATTTCAAAAATATATTATGTAATTATTTGATATCATAATGATTAATTTATATTATATTTTATAGGGAATCGTTTTGTATTTGTTAGTAAAAAACTAAACAGAAAGATCTATTTGATTATTTTTAACATTAAAATGATCCTAAACATTTTCAGTTTCCTTTCAAATTTCTATGGTTTTATTCCTGAATTAGTGATGTGCAAATGGCGAATTGCAGTCATCTCTTTTCTTTCACTATTTTGTATTTTCAAATAGAAAGTTTAAAAGTAAAGAATAATTAGAGTTTGGCATGGGTCGTTCAAACAGACCGAATTTCAAGTTTTGGCCCATTTTGATCAAGTCTAATTTATAGTCACATGGTTCCCTGATACCCGATAAAAATCTCAATCCATACCAGTTTGGCAGGTGAGTCCGTGTTTACCACCATTTTCTAGGGATACAGGAACGACGGTTCCTATCCCAAATTAGTGTTGTTCGTTCTTGATTTCCTTGGATTTTATCATGGCCTGGCAAAAACCAGAAACCACAATGACGACAAGATGAAAGTTTTATAAAGCAAATTAATCGGCCTACGGGCCGAGTAAAAGCTAGCAACGATTGTGAGATGCTCATTTCCCGAAAACTGGCAGGATAGACGATTTTTTATTTGATTTTCTGAAATTCGGTTTCTATAAAACTTACTCCACCTCTTCTTATTACCTTAAACAATATTGTTTCACAAGGTAACAAGTACTTGATTTTGGTTCATAAGGCTGATTTTTGATTCGTTGCATCATTCGTTGTCTCTTTCCTACTAAAATTCACTATTTTTATCACGTGTTTCCAAACTAATTGGCCGGGACCACGCTAGTATATATAGTAGTTGGCATGCCCTTCCAAACTAACTTACTATATTCCAACGCCTATCGCCTAGCTAGCCGCTAATTTCAACTCATTCCTTATCATCATTCATCACCTTGGTCAATTATCGTTTATCACTACTAATATTGGTCTTCTTCCTGCAAGTTTTCCCCAGAAGAAAGATGGCGATTAGTTCTGACAAGAGCAGAGTCATGAGACTAAGTATGATCAGCAGTTTACTTATAAAATGTTTGATCCATTTACTAGCTATGGCCGCATTGCCTTGTGAATCAGCTCACGATGATGACGATCCAACCAGAGGTTTCGTCTCCTTTCCTTTCAACACGTCCTACTACCACATCCAGAGCCCTTACAATTTGCCTGAAGAGAAGCGTTACAGCTTCGTCAATGGCGTCCACAAGTGCTGGGTTTACTCCACCGACAAGCCGCATTCCCGCACCAGCAGGACCAAGCCCCGCACCGAGATCGCCATCCAGGTTTACCACCATCAAACTCGATCAACTCTTCTTCTTCTTCTTCTAGCTTCTTCTTCTTCTTCTTTTTAGAGCTGTTAGAATAATATCAATGCGGTGAAACTGTGCAAACATTAATTGTGTTTTTTCAGGGGTATGAATACAAATCGGGCACGTGGGAATTCGAAGCGTACGGTTACGTGCCGAAAGGGACATCCGGCGTGTCGATTATGCAGGTGTTTGGAAGCAAGCCACCGACGGCGACTTCGTTGATGCTCATGGTTTACGACGGCAGCCTCCACTGCTACAGCAAGGGCCAAGTCGTGCTCGCGAACATCTACAACAAGTGGTTCAAGCTGAATGTGATCGACGATTTCGATTCCAGAAAGATCCAGGTCTACATCAACAATGAGCTCAAGCTGGAGGTAATGGGGCGTGGAGGTAAATATCATGCGTTCAAATGTGGAGTGTATGCACACCGGAACGATTCTCGTCGCATGGAGTCTCGCTGGAAGGGCATAAAGATTTTCAGAAAGAAGGTCTAGAGAGTAGAGAGAGTGTGTGAAACTTCAGATCTGAAAGAAAGAAAAAAATGTTTCGCGACGATTGATTTCGTTTTACCGGCGAGGATGTAAGACTGTTCCTTGCTAGCTAGCTAGTTAGCTAGTTGTGTGCGTGCTACATAGAAATTTTGGTGTTTTGGACTGGAAGATTATTGACGGAGTATGCTCTTCAATATTCATACTCCAATATTGTATGAGCAACCGCAAGCCATTCTATTAATGAATGCAAAAGGATTAGATCTCTCAACATCGAGTTGATAACTAGTTGTGCGGAAACATTTGGCGGTTCAGATTGAGTTTCTTTGTGCGATTTGTAGGACGGAGTAGTAATAGGATAGTCCATTTGGTGGTTAGAAATACCTTTTCATTGTACCCGTTTACATATCATTTCTTTAATTTTCGGACCTGACTTAGTTCCAAAATGTAATGATTTTTTTTTTTTTGGAAAATAATAATGATCTCTTTTTCTAATTAATGAAAATGATTATTTTTTGTATAAAAAAACATCATAAAACAATTAAAAAGAAACAAGCCAATATCATTTCACTCGAATTAGAGCGGGCAAGTTTGGGCCTTCTCAGTGTACTGATAGCAAAACCCAGGACGAACCAGGTTGGCTTCTAGTTTTGTTGGGCTTTTTGTATTAAGGCTTTCAACCATAGCAAGCCCAGAAGTTGCCAAATTTCCAGTCCAGCAGTCCGCCGCCCGAAATTACAGCCAATTTCCTCCTCCCCGTTTCTGTGCGCTGCCGGCGAGAGAGCACAGCAGAGTAAGGCTTCCTACCCTTTCTGTTCGGCGGCGAATCAGAAAGCAAAGCAGCCGAGGGCGTTAGAGAGAAAGTGAGAGTGATAGAGATGCAGAGGCTGAAAGGTGGATTGGCGAGAACAGTAAAACAGTACTGCTTGAATAGCAGAAATGGGATACACTGTAATCCCCACCGCCACCGAAGCTTCTCTGCTCTCCCTAACTACGCCGCCGTAAACGATGCCGATTTCCAAGACCAGGTCGACGCTCCGTCTCCCTCGTTTTGTCCCGAAGAGAACGAAAATAAACTGAAGCTGAGTGTTTTTTACTTTGTTTTTTCCTTCCTTCGGCAGGTTTTGGTGGAAGGAAGAGCAAAATCAAGGGCTGCAATCCTCAACAGACCCGATTCTCTCAATGCGCTCACTCCTCCTATGGTTTCCTTCTATCTAATGAACCCTTTCATTTTCTCCTTCGTTGACGAAGGTGGTGTTCTCCAGTTCACTGTTTTGTGACTTTGTCCATGAAAATTGGCAGGTGGGTCGGCTTAAGAGATTGTACGAGTCATGGGAGGAAAACCCGAGTATTGGATTTGTGTTGATGAAGGTATAGCGTTATACTTCTTTTCAATTACGCACTATTGCTATGAAGCTACTTCACTAGTGTAATAATTAAATTCCATAGCTTGGAGTTTTCCCAGAAAGCAAGGAATGAGGTTTTCATGTGAAAGCATAAAACTTTTGATGTAGACGCAACAAAATATTGCATTTCTCTGGTTCCTGGTGCCATAAGTTGCTTTTTAAGCGAGTTCATGGTGCACGCAAGATGTTTGCGGAAATGTCTCTGGCTATATGTTTTCTGTTTACAAGTAGTGGTAGTATGTAACTTGCTTTCCTTGATATTTTGAAGGGTGGTGGCAGCAAGGCCTTCTGCTCCGGTGCTGATGTTGTTTCCCTAAGCCAGATGGTTGATGATGGTAAGCCACCCGGATATGAGTATTAGCAGCATTGGTTGCTTACAAAGATAGCTTATTTTGCTTGTTTATCGGTAGTTAGTTCATCTTGCAGTTCAACTGTCATTTATCCCTTTCCGCTGATGGTAATGTAGCTGATATGGTCTCCCACCATCTTAAACTATGTAGGGAATATTGAAGACTGCAAACGATATTTTGAGATGTTGTACAAGTTTGTCTACCTACAAGCAACATATTTGAAGCCACATGTGAGAAAGTTTGATACTTGCAAACAATGTAGATTTATACTCGCCTTTTGGCAATAAATTTAAGTTATGTGAACATTTGGCCAATTCTCATTACTTATGCAGTAAAGCATGTATAGTAGTTTCTGACGAGCCACTGTCTAAGCTTGATAGTCAGTTTAGATGAAGTTCTATGATTATTCTATCATCTGATCCATATTCTTGCAGGTAGCTATTCTGGACGGGTACACTATGGGATGCGGAGCTGGAATTTCAATTCCAGGAATGTTCCGCTTGGTCACTGACAGAACTGTAAGTAACCTTTTGGACTAAAATGCTTTCAATTGATACTAGCCTGGTCTTGTTCATCTCCTTTCATTTGTAGTGCGAGACATGAACCAGTATGGATACTTTTGATGAGCTCTGGAATTGGCTCAAAAGTGTCAAGTGTAATGAAGTGAAACTCATGTGTACTGGGAAGTTAACCCTATAGAAAATTTGGCAGGTTTTTGCTAATCCAGAGGCTCAAATAGGTTTTCATCCAGATGCAGGGGCTTCGTTCTATCTATCCCGCCTGCCGGGTTACTTAGGTTGGTGCAATGGTCCAAACAAATCCCAGCTTTGACACAATGGATGCCCCAAATCAAATATTGATCTTATTTTGTTTCAGGGGAATACTTAGCTCTCACCGGAGATAAGCTTAATGGGGTTGAAATGATTGCATCTGGCCTAGCAACTCATTACTCATTGCATTCGGTGCGTTCTCTCAGTAATTTTTTTAATTGTATTCTGCCCTTTTTAATTTGTAATTCCATAGTGAAAACATCTTGTTCACAGAAACTTGCTTGGATTGAAGACCGACTTGGTAATTTGATCACAGATGACCGTGATGCCATTGAAACGTCTCTCGCACATTATGGTGTCATTGTCCATCCGGATAAGACAAGTGTCCTTCATAAGTATTGTCTCGATCTGTATCCTGACTTGTTTAATTTTGGATATTAGTTATCCAGTTCGCATTTATTTGTTGCCTATATAATGTGAGTTCTTACCTCAGCAATGAGTAACATACTTTTGAGCAAATTTACTGTTTTGTTTGACATTTGTGTTCAAATTTTTGTACTTCAGGATAGAGATAATTGATAAATGCTTCAATCGTGATACAGTGGAAGAGATTATTGATGCCCTGGTAAGGATTTTTAGGTTGTTTTAAGCTACTGCATCAGTTCTTTTTCTGGGGCAGCCTGATTGTTCTAAACATTGATTTCGTCAGGAAAATGAGGCCAAGACCTCTTCCAGTGAATGGGTTAAGGTAGCTCTTAAGAAACTGAAACAAGCTTCTCCACTAAGCTTGAAGGTTACCTTGCACTCTGTAAGTCAATACTCTTCTGAACATCAGCATTCACCTATGGTATATAATACATATATTTCATGATTTCTTGTGCATATATCCCTTTCAGATACGAGAAGGTAGATTTCAGTCTCTTGATCAATGCCTTTCTCGTGAGTATCGAATGTCAATAGCAGGGATCTCAAAAAAGGTTTCCAATGACTTCTTCGAGGTACCGTGTATCTTTCCATCTTTCCTTCACATAATACTTGGGATACAAAAACCATATCAATGATAGCATTCTGCCATTGTGTATTAGGGTGTACGAGCTAGCTTAGTCGACAAGGACTTTGCTCCAAAGGTACTGACAGTTATTTAGTTGAGACCATGTCTTGTTTGATGTTTCTTTCTTGTTGAAGTCATCATTTTGTAATGGAGTTTACAATAACAAAATGCAGTGGGATCCTCCAACATTAGCGGATGTGAGTGCAGACATGGTGGACAGCTACTTCTCACGGCTAGATGAATTTGAGCCAGATCTGGAGCTCCCGACAGCAACACGCGAGCCATACATTTGAGAAAGGGGGTTTGTTCTAAAGAGTGGATGTCACAGCAAGCCGTCGACCCTTTTTTTTTTTTTGTTACTCTTCGACGAAAATGCTTGTTGAGGTTATAGTACCATTCAATGCATAATCTAGTTCCGGGCCTGTATCTTGATTCACCCAACAGACCTGGTATTGGTAACAACACTTATCAAACACTAGGGACCAAATACTGTAAATCATGCTGTTTATTTTCCTGTTTTGTTCTGCACCATAGTTAGCATATTATTGTTGACTCGTAATCGGTTTGTATTTTCTCATTCAATATCAATACGAACCTAATCAATTCCCAAGTGATGGATTTTCATGTCAGTCAAGAGCATAGATTTGTTGTATTAATAACGTATTTGAATGCTCAATGAATGGAGTCTTCCATGACTTCAGTAGAGGCATGTTTGCCGAAAAAACATAATACAGGGATGTAATTGTTCAACAAATATAGTCCAAGGATGAAATTGACATTTAAGTTTATTTATTCGAGCTGTTAGAATAAAACCTAAACGGCATAACGGAGGCAGGAAGCCGACTGACACTGCCTACTCTGCCGCAATGAAAATTTTCGCGTAATCCTACTCTGCCGCAATGAAAATTTTCGCGTAATCCTCAGTCCATTTTTTACCAACAATTATCGGGGAGCCAGCCGCTGCTGCTAAAACTAGGGGTGGGCATTGGGTGGGTCGGGTGAATTTTGACCATAAAATGCACCCACCCGCGCTTAAACGGATTGATAATTTTTAACCCACCACCCACCCACATTTAGTCTCGGGTTGGGTCGGGCGGATGGTGGATGATGCGGGTGGGTTTGTGGGTTCACCCACATCACAATGTATATAATATAAAGGAGTCAACTTGACATGATAATAGGTGAAGAAAATCATCGAGGGAAACAAGAAGTTGAAATAGGGCGAAAAATATCGAATTAGTTCTTAACTTGGATAGAAATTCTATTATGAAAGAGTTTTCTACAGATTGAGACGATTATTAGGTGCAAGGAACTAATGAAAATAATTCCACAAAGGAAAGAGCGGTGATCTAAGCACAAGAATTAGAGGGAAAAGTAAAGGGATGAAGATGGGATCTCTATTTGGAAGGTTGGCTTTGAGGTTCAAACTCCAGGAGCAGTCCGAGTTTATATCTAACGTCTCCACTCTCCTCTCTCTAGCGCCAACGACTTTGATCTTTTTGCTGTTGGGTTGAACGGGTCACCCGCACACTCACCCACAACCCACCCACCACCCGGCGGATGGCTCCCAGCACAACCCGTCACCCACCCACAGACCCACCCACTTAACCAAATTCGGGTCAAATGCGGGTGGGTCGGCCCAAACCCGCGGATAATCCGCCCGCATGCCCAGCCCTAGCTAAAACCCTCCATTGCTTCGCTCCACACTGGCTTCCTTCCTCCACAAATTCTCAGTCTTCGAAGCTTCCCGGTCTGGAAATCGAGCCGCTTCCCTCCTAGCCTGTTCTCAGTTCTTCAGCTTCAGGTGAGCTCGGTTTCGTTCCTTTCTCTGCCAAGATTCTTCCTTTTTACCTCCATTGATGTCCACTCTATATTCACTTATCTGGGTTTAAGTTGTCTGGAACACAACTGATGGACGCTCGTTTGCGACTCCGAAAGCTGCTAGTAGTGCCTTAGTTCAGATATTGGCCTCTGTGTTTCCTGTTTCTATCTCTCAATTCCCTAAAGCATAGATTGTCTGTAAAGAAACTAGTTGGGCACCTGATTTTGAGCCCGAGCTTGAGTTCTGAGGACATCCATCCATGTGCGTTTGTGTATTGCAGGAATCCAATGATTTGAGAACAGGTGTGAACTTGGTTTCTTGCTGCAATGCCGGCTTTAGCTTCAACAACCAGGTTGCTTATTCTAGCTGGTTACTCATTGCCTTCACAGAAATTGAAATTTCTTCCCGTTAGTGTATCGACATGGCGCCATTCAGTGAGGTTCTTCAGTCGGGTTGCTAAAGAACACCAGGGCCCTCTCACTCTTGCTAGCCTGGGATTCAGCAGTCAACTTGAGGCAACTACAGGCAGTACTGGAAAGAGGAGTAACGTTGAGAACAGTGTTAAATTGACAAGGTCACCAGTTGACAGGCCAAGGAGTATAGCCACGCCGGTTGTTAAGGCGATAACATCGGTTGACGATATAGAGCTCGAGGCCACAACAGGTAGTAAGGGAAAGAGTAGGAAAGTTGAGAAAAATGTGAAACCGTTAAGGACTCCAGTTGACAGGCCAAAGAGTAAGGTCAAGCCGCTTGGTAAGACGAGGGGATCAGTTGATGATATAGAGCTCGCTCCTTTTTCTGCCAAATCATTCTCCGAGCTTGGCCTGCCGCCATTGCTGATAGAGAGATTAGAATCTGAAGGCTTCAAGGTTCCAACCGATGTGCAATCTGCTGCAATTCCAACTATCCTAAAAGACCACGATGTCGTTATACAGTCTTACACTGGGTCTGGCAAAACATTGGCGTATCTCCTCCCTATACTATCTAGGATTGGACCTCTGAAGGATGCCAACTCTACTTTGAAATCCAAAGACGATGGTGGCGGGAAGAGGAAGAACGACATAGAAGCAGTGATCGTGGCCCCATCCCGAGAGCTTGGGATGCAAATCGTGAGGGAGGTCGAGAACATATTGGGCCCTGAAAACAAGAGAGCTGTTCAGCAGCTCGTTGGTGGAGCAAACCGTTCAAGACAGGAAGAAGCTCTCAAGAAGAACAAGCCAGTAATTGTGGTTGGAACCCCTGGCAGGATAGCTGAGATCAGTGCAGCTGGCAAGCTTCATACACATGGCTGCCGTTTCCTGGTGCTGGATGAAGTTGATGAGCTCCTCTCGTTCAACTTTCGAGAAGCCATGCGCCGGATACTGGATCACGTAGGAAGGAAATCTGAGCGTCGCACTGTATTGGTCTCTGCCACAGTGCCATTTGCAGTGATAAGAGCTGCCAGAAGTTGGTCTGACGACCCGGTTTTGGTTCAAGCCAAGAAAGTAACCCCGCTTGAATTGGTTCCTCCATCTGGACCGGTTGATTCAACACAGCCTGCATCAGATTCAAATCCGTCAGCATCCCAAAGCTTACCTCCATCTCTGAAGCACTACTATTCTGTGGTGAAGCTGCAGCACAAGGTGGATGCTTTGAGGAGGTGTGTTCACGCCATGGACGCCAAGTGTGTGATAGCCTTCATGAACCACACAAAGCAGCTGAAGGATGTGGTATACAAGCTGGAGGCGAGAGGGTTAAATGCTGCGGAGTTGCATGGAGATCTTGGCAAGCTTGGGAGGTCCACGATTATGAAGAAGTTTAAAAATGGGGAGTTGAGGGTACTTGTGACCAATGAGCTATCAGCGAGGGGACTGGACATTCCCGAATGTGATCTCGTGGTTAATCTGGACTTGCCTACCGACTCGGTTCACTATGCTCATCGTGCTGGCCGGACAGGGAGGCTAGGGAGGAAGGGGATCGTGGTGACGATTTGTGAAGAGTCGCAGGTGTTTGTTGTGAGGAAGATGGAGAAGCAGCTCGGTGTGGCGATTCATAGCTGCGAGTTTACAGAGGGGAAGTTTGTCATCGATGGAGAAGAGAAAGAAGAGAGTACGATGGATGGTGTAAGTGGTTCTTCTGATATGGTTCAACAAGCTTGTTCTACATGAAATGGAAGCTTCTGTAACGTTAGATTGAACAACTCGTGCCTTGCACTGTTTCGTGTTGAGATTCGTACTGAGAGTTTTGAGATTAATTAGTCCTCTTGACTCACATTATTTAGCTACTTTCTCATGTCAATAATTGAAACTTTATACAAACCGTGTTTTAGGTAGGAGTAAAACGAAAGTGAACAAAAAGTAAAGAACCTAATGGGCGTCGTTTAAGATTAAAGAAGATTTTTATTTAATGTTAGATTAAGAAAAGGTTTAATGATGGGCTCTTCACGAAAATTTTCTAAACACAATAATTACTGTCGGAAAACTCAACAATAAAAAGGTGGCAGGACCAGTTGAGTTGAGTTGAACACAAGCAGGCTAAGAACCAGAGGTTAACTTCTCCTCTTGTGTTTGAAACCTGTAAAAAATGGCCACTCTCGTAGTGCCTGATTCTGTTCCTTCTCCAACCGAGGACAGTAAGACACTCATGGAGGCTTGCAGAGGTTTTCTTCTTGCTTCCCCTATAAGTTAAAGTTCATATCTTTTCTCCTGATTTTCGTTCTGGTTTTCTAGTTTTGAGATTGTACTATGGACCATGTCTGGGTGTATGTATTTCCGTATGATCTAGTCTAATGACATCTGGATCTGGTTTAGTTTGCTTGATCAGGAGGCAGTTGGGGTTTGAATGGTTCATAAAAAAATAGAGTTGCTGAGTGACTTATCTGGGGATTAATTGTTGTCTAACTGTAAGCTAGGCTGGGTTTTTCCGCTCTTTGCTTTTGTGCAGGGCCTGATGAGAAGGTGTTCATATCGATCTTAGGACACAGAAACTCAAGCCAAAGGAGAAACATCAGAGACACTTATCAGCAGCTTTACAATGAACCCCTTACCAATTGTCTCTATTCAGAACTGACCGATCATTTCAGAGTAATGTTCTTTCATTGTTGAGTAAAGGTGGCAAATTCTAGGCTGTCTATCTGTTGTTATAATTGGTTTGTTGAACCCAATTCGACAAATTACAGAGAGCGATAATCCTGTGGACACATGATCCAGCCGAGAGGGATGCTATTCGAGCAAATGAAGTACTGAAAGGAAGGAATCCCCAGCTTGAAGTAATAGTTGAGATCGTCTGCGCAAATTCGCCTCACCATTTGCAGACTGTAAAGCAGGCCTACTGTGCTCTCTTTAATTCATCACTTGAGAAAGACATTGCTGCTGTAGTCTTCTCTTTGCATCTCAGAAAGGTAAAGAATAACATTTCCCCACTGAGAATAGTTCAAGATACAGAAATTCCCCGACTTTCCTTGTTTTTTTTTTGGCCCAACTTGATGACACTTCAGAACTGACTAATAACCATGCATTGCCGCCATGCGCGCCCAAACACACAAACAAAAGCTGCTACTGGGTTTGGTGGGCTCATTCAGGTATGACAAGAGAGTGGTGGATATGCAGTTTGCACACTGGGAGTCGGCCGACCTGTTTGAAGCCATGCAGACAAAGGAGTTGGGTTATGATGATCTGATTTACATCCTCAGCACTCGGAATGCTTGCCAGCTCAAAGACTCTTTCAAGATGTACGAGCAGCAGTTTAAACTGCCAATCTATGAGGTCTAGCTCTCTTATGCACCTACCTTCATAACTCATTAAAATGGGAGGGGAAGAATGCCTCCAACTCCAAGTGAGTTTTAGTGAGACACTGGAGGCAAATATCAGACTATGGTCACTCTGGCTCGATTGTGGCAGCTTTGAAACTTTCAGCTGTTTGTTTGGATTAAAAGTTTCACCAGTTCAAGCAAAGACACTTTGTTTTGGAGACGCATAAGAGTGCTGAATTTTCCTTGTGCAGGATTTGAAGTCCTATGGAGGAGATGATTTGACGTCCCTTTTGAAGGTGGCCGTTCAGTGTATAGTTTGCCCTGAAAAGCACTTCGCTGAGGTAGTTTTCCCCCCTCTGTTACCTCTCTGCCGAGTTGCTAGGTTTGTGCTGAAGAACGCTGTGCCAAACTGTTGACATCTTCTGCAATTTGCAGGTCGTCAATACTTCGACCAGGAGACTGGGAATGCATGACAACGATGATGATACACTGAGCGGAGCAATAATAAGTCGAGCAGAGGTTGACATGGCGAATGTTAGAACAGAATATTCCAACATGTTTGAAGCCAATCTGGATGATGATGTAGCTGAACACAGTTTCGGCGACAATACAAAGTCCCTGATCATGACTTTACTTGGTGCTGGAGTTTGATTTCATCTTTCTGCATTTGTTTCCAATATATGTATCAGCCGTCTGAGTTTGGATTCTCGTCTTCAGAACTTTCAAGGTTTGTAACCTCTTAATTTGCATGGATATAAATTACAGCTTCTGGCTGTTTTCTACAGGTTCGTTTGATAATTTCGTGTTTTTGAACTGGAAATTCCTAGTGAGAATTGCAATTCTCTGCACACGAGATCGAAGCGATGAGATTACATTGTAATTCAAACTGGCGAAACTAATGATGCATGATTTAGTTGTAAGAACCGGATCCAGATTGTATAATGAAACCATAATCGCTATAAGACTCTATCAGCTTGGTGATCGGTACACAGTAGCTACTGTTTTCTTGACATAAGACATTTTTCAAATTCAGAATAGAAACAACTCCTATAACAAACATCGTCTCTACTACGATGGAGTTCCACGCTCTCGACTATCAGGCTCCCCACCTATCTTCATAAGTAGTGGTGGAGGAATGCTGCTCCGGACGCCCTCTGCTTGAATGTCTCCTTCGGTTCGATTGACTTCCTGTTGGGGATCGTTCCCTGTCTGAATGCTGCTTCGACCACTTGGTGCTTACATCATTCCTACCATCATCATTGTCACCATCCGAGTCTTCCTTGTCATGACCACCATGCCGTCTTCTTTTCCCATGCTGCCTTCCTCGGCTTTCCTTCTCTCGCTGATAATCGAAGTCATTGCAATCATGCGGTCTGCTATCAACCCAACGATCACCATCTTCAACTTCTTCAGACCTTCTACTAAAGATGGTATCATCAGGAGATTTCACACTGTTCTTTTCTCTCTCTCTGTCCCTGCCTTTTCGGCGATCTGTTCCAGTCCTTCTCTTGTGACTTGGTTGCCCATTTTGGGGCCCCTTCTTCCTCTCCTCATCTGAAACCACATCCTTACTATCATTCTTTCTGTTCTCCTCGTAGTGGTTTCTCGAACTACGACTTCTTGATCGGCTACTTCTTCTGTGTCCCTCCTTGTTGTCCATGTCCCTATCTGACCAACCCTCTTCTTCAGATGTAGAATCTAGCCTGCTACCAGAATGACGACGGTCTCGTTCATCCAGATTTCTAATAGGTCTCTGTCCATTGTCTATGTGTCTCCCCTCCCATGCACTTTCATGAACATACTCGTCTCTATCTCTTCTTCTATCGGACCAATGCCCAAAGTCCCTGGACATGGATCTTCTTGATCGAAGCCTGGAATCAAGGAACAGTCATTACAGGGTATAAAATAACACCCCAGTTCAGCTTAAATAATAATAATAACTCTATTTATGCTCCCGGTTCAATATATAATCAAATTCAGCCGAGAGAAATCTAGAGGGGTGTACCTGTCTGTATCATTAACATTTTCCTTGCTAGATGCGCTCCCTATTTTCCCTTCCTTGTGTTCGTAACTCTCAGCGTCTCCAGAGAAACCAAATAAAGCAGTCATCTTTTGCACCCAAAACCTCGGTGGAGGTTTGTCCCAATCTGCCCATTCATAGTCTCCACCAGGATTGCGGAAACAGTGGATGAAGTTGCAAGAATTTCCACGAGAACAGTTCTGTAAGGATTCAGATGTATTTCAATTTGCTGGAGACCGAAAACTGATTAAAGAAGAAGACGAATAGACAAAAGAACCCTGAAACGCAAAGCAGCTAGTTTTATACCTGAAGTCTTGACCTCATATACTCCCCACATATGGCTACCTTCCATCTGGTAATGTTAACGAATTCACATGTAACCTGTGCAAATTAACTTCCCCAGTTCATTTCGATTCAAAACAAAAAAACATCCCCAGTTCACAACTAAGAAATCAAGTAGAAGCATTTGCTAATCTGAATCCAAAAATGATTGAGCCTCATTTCAGGAACATAAGCTTATTAGCAGAATACCCTTAATCGCTGGACCATCGATTTCAATTGTCCTTTGTCTCATTCAGGCACAGCACTCCAACCCTACTGAAGTGAAACCTACTTATCCCATCATAATTTTCTACCTTGTAAATAGTACCTCTAAAACCTTGATATAGTACAACTACCAAAAGTAGAATTAGCCAATATAGTAACAGAGAACAGAAGCATACTGTCAATCAGTATGACAAAATCACAAATGCACTAGTTATATTTTCAAAAGCCTCTTTCGCTCTGTACCTGTTTCCCAGCAAAGTAACGGCCATTGATCGACTCATAGGCAAGCACAGCTGAATCCAGTGACTTATAATGAACGTACATATTTCCTCTCAAGTGGGATGAACTGTTTCTACAAACCTGTACAAGGATAAAAATATGGTTGTTCAGGAAGAACACCAGGAAAGATACTCAACATAAAACTTACTGCCCTGAGTCTGACTCAGACCAAAAGCTTCCTCTAATGCCTTATAAAAGTTAATATGAATCCAGTCCATCTATGAAAATATTATAAAAAACCCCAATCAACTGTGACCCTTTACTGGAGCTGAATAAGACATATTGGTTCATCAATCCTACGACTCCAAAAATGACGGAAATGGAATTTCCAATCAGTTGAATAAGCTGATCGCTTCTGTTAAAGATCTTAGCCTAACTGATGGCTATATAAAATCAAGAGTAGCAGAACGGAACTTAGAATAGCAGTTTTGGAACCTTGAAATTCACTATCTCGCCATACTTCAAGAACTCTGTATGCACATCCTCATAGAACTCTTCATAACTGCGATCAACCTCTTCATCTGTATACTGAAAGCAGAAAATTGAAAATGAAACACACATTCTCCCTTTGTAAATGTATGCCATCTATCAGAAATAAACTGAGAAGCTTCAAATATCCCAGAAAGAACTAAAAATCTCTTAAGCTGCCTCTCATGCAAGCTAATTGTTAAATCTATAAAGCTAGTGGTTTAATCGATGTCGGAATAAGAAGCGACATTCAAACAACTTCCAGTTCCCTCAACTAAATGGATAGTCTAAGAAATGCTCACGTGGTCCAACTTCATCCATGTAATAAGTCTTCAGTGCCTTCAAGAGAAACCCAGGAAACTAATAAACTGTCACTGGCAAAAGCTCCAGAATCGAGAATCCCAAATGTGCCAGCAACTAACACTAGTTAAGGAGAAAGAACCCAGAAAGATATCAACCTTAATGCTAATCACCAATTAAGATGCAGATTCGAAATTTCAACAAAAAAAAAAAAAAAGACTTGATATGAACACTACAGCACAGGTTATAACAACTATGGCATATGCAACCGACCATAAAATTCAAGCCAATGAGAAAGAAATGAACAATGTAAAGAAAAAACAAAGCCACAGAATGCAAATATCAATGTCAGCCTGTGACAGAAATGTCAAACTGATTCCTGTCAAGTGGAAGGATACGTTACAAGAACCCTTTTTGAAAGTGGCCGGAAACGTTGTAAGAAATTCTGCATCTAAGGTTAGATTGAAAAAAAAAAGAGGACCAGAAACCGAATGGTCACTGATTATTTTATAGATGCCCTCTTTTTCTCCCATGTTAAAGCTGTTTCTCATCTTGCCACCAATTCACACAAAAATGCTTCACAAACCAAAGCTAATTCATAGAGACTTGTTAATCTTATTCATCAGGATACATGGAAGTCAGCATTAACAGACCTCAAGCCCTTCGTCTTGTTCCCAAGCAAGGCCAGGGCCACTGTACATATTCTTGATAACCAGGGTGCATGCTTTATCTGGATAAAAATGTACCCTGCTGCAACGCTGGCCAAACCTACAGGCTCCAGTTTTCAAATGGAATGGACAGTGAGCTTTATCCTGTCATCAACAGGTATGTTCCAAGATAAAAAAAAATATATATATTAGTTCTCTGTGATGATTAATGCATGTAAAAGAGTGAACTGTCGTTATGATCAGTCTCGAATCACAAAGGAGCAACACAAAACGTATACCTGTTCAGTACCAAAGTTTGGTACTTGTTGAGCAACATTCTCCAGCATCTCTTGTGCTGAAAGCGTCGAAGCCTCCGATTCTGGCGGGAGAGGATTGGAAGTAGGCCTGTTGGCATCCTGCCAATTCCAAATGCATCCACTCAGAAACAAAATGGTAAAACTTACGGAAGTCATAAACAAAACCAAATATTAGTTCTACCTCTTTCCTTTGTGCATCCGCTTTCTTTTTTGGCACTCGAACCCTTTTTTTCTTGACAATTATCTCATTTCCTTGCCAGATAATTTCAGCTGGCCCTTCTTCTACATACTCCCAATTACTATCCTCATCACATCCATCCTCATTTGGAGTCTGCCAGAGGTACAAAAGCATTTCAAGTCAGGATCCAAGAAGAAAACGGAAATGTCGCAATTTCTCTCGCTTTCCCAAAATTTCTCAGCAACCAAACACCACATTTCACATTGCACGACTATAACTCGATCCCCGATTCTAATAAACGAACAGTGTAGAAAGGAAAGAGAAGAGACGAATAGTACCTGCAATCTTCTCTTAGCTTCCTCCTCTTCTTCCTCTTCAGCTTCTCTTCTCGCCGCCTCCTCCTCTTCCGCCTTCCTCTTCAGCTCCATCTCCTCCAACAACTTATTCTCCCTCTCTTCGAACTCCTTCCTATCCCTCTCCATTCTCAGCCTCTCCTCTTCCTCCATCTCCTTCAACCGCTTCTGCTCCTCTGGATCATTCCTCCTTTCCTCTTCCTCCTCTCTCTCCCTCGCCGCTATCTCCTTCCTCGCCTGCTTTCTCTTCATCTTCTTCTTGTCTTTCCTCTTCTCCTTCCTACTCGCCGCCACAACCATTGTCTTCTCGTCCCTCGCCTCTCCTTCTACTTGTTGCGCTTCCTTTTCACCCTCTCCTCCCTGTTCGTCACCAATTATCAACCTTTCTGCCTCCGCCATCGATCGGATTTCAGTTTCCCGGTGAGTTCCAGTCTTGATCAACAAAATTGATGCAAAATTAATTAGTTGTCCTCTCCCGAGTCCCGACTCTAGAGTTCAGACGAACGGCGACAGAGTGACTAAGCGACTGCGGATTTATATACGGTTTGTCGCGAAATTAAACTCTGCGTTTCTTTTCCTTTTTTTTGTTATGTTGGGTTCCTTATACTTTGCATTTTTTATAACGCTTTGTTTGGCAACAAGGGTGCAAATTGCAGGAGGGTGCAAGTTGAGGGGTAGTTAGCATAAATGATCACACAACTTATCACTTTGTACAAAACAGTCACAAAACTTTCATTTTGCACAATTCGGCAATACATGTTTAAACTTATAACAAAACCATCATTTCCATCCATCTCCGTCCAAAACCTAACAGAATGTTGATGTGGCTGCTGACTCAACTTCCTAATCAACAAAATATTAATAAATTATTCTATTATTTAAAACTCATCTTCAATATTTTAAGAAGAAAACTAAAAATAACCGTTCTTAGCCCTCAACTCCTCCGCGTGGCCGGTAAGAACCACAACCACCACGCAAATCCCACCGATTTACAACATCCGAAACAGCAGAAACCTACCCACTCGAATTCGTTTTCTTCCCCTGCTCTGCGATGCTGCTATCGGGGTACAAACCGAAGGGGAAAACCAGAGGAGGGTTATGGTTTTCACTCTTAAACCTAGCGTCAAAACTGAAAAAGCCTGGGAAAGGCAAAGAACGTGAAAAAATGGGCTCTGGCGGGTTCCCATCGCCGGCGTCCGAGAGGATTACGAAGTGGAACACAGAAGTAGATCGGGCGGCAGACTCTACTAAACTTTGCGGGAGGGTTCGCTGCGGAGATGGGAGAGTAAGCGGAGGAAGAAGAGGAAAGGGAAGACGGAAGGTCACTTTCCCTTTTTCTATTTTAATAATTTAAGTTTTATGAATATTTTTAATTGTAATTAAATAGTAATAAATAAATAAATAAATAAATGATAGTTTATCAATTATTTTGCTGATTGGGATATTAAGTAAGCAGCTAGGGATGGCAATGGGTAGGGTCGGGTGCGGGTTTACCCTATACCAACTCCTAACCCGCCGGGTAGAGCCTTCTAAAATACCCGACCAAATAACCACCGGGTATGAAAATTATATAACCATACCCTACCCACCGGGTAACCACGGGTATTCGGGTAACCATGGGTACGAATCCTAAACTATGAACTTATACACATATATGCACATACATACTGTTGTCCACTAAAAATTCTCAATACTTCTAATTGTTCTAGCTTCAACAATCCACACAAATAAAAACAACAAAAACATAATAATTGTTCTTGCTTCTACAATCCACACAAATATAATAATCGTCTACATCATCATCAATAATGGTAGCTAAACTAAATTTCTCAAGCTAAACTAAATTTCTCAAGGGAAATTGACCCTTTGGTTAGCGGAGCGGGTATAATGGGGCGGGTATTATCGATTACCATACCCGTACCCTACCCTTTATTTTGAAACCGGGTATTACCCGTACCCGCCCCTTAACCCGTCAAAGCGGGTAATTACCCTCGTTGACCGGTTACGGTCGGGTAGGGTACCCATGGTTACGGGTTGGATTGACATCCCTATAAGCAGCCACATCAGCATTCTGTTAGGGCTTTGGATGGAGATGGATGGAAATCACAGTTTTGTTATAAGTGTACACTTGTATGACCAAATCGTGCAAAATGAAAGTTGTGTGACCGTTTTGTACAAAGTGATAAGTTGTGTGACCATTTATGCTAACTACCCTGCAAGTTGAGGGGTAAATTGCTGGGGGTGCAAATTGCTGGGGGGTGTAAGTGGAGGGGGTAAATTGTTGTTTGGATGAAAAAGTAGTGGGGTGCAAATAAAATGCAAAGTAAGTAATTATATTATTTAAAATAGATTTTAAAATTTTATAATAGATTTTAAAATTATAAATAGATTTTAAAATTATAAAATATTATCATAAAATAATAAAATAAATATTACTATATAGTAATAAATATACTTTACTAAATAGTTATTATATAATAATGCTCAAATAATAATTAATTATAACAATTGTAATAATCATTGATCGAGCGATCTCAAAACTCGAAGCTCAACTCGTAACTGGTCATCCTATATAGGGTTTTCGTGTCTAGTTTAATCTTAAATTGTCAAACTTAGTCAAACACGTTCGAATTTGTAAGTTTTAACTATTTAGTCAAATAAAATGAGTTAACCAAACAATTTCTCTCTATCTTTTCCACAAACACCTTGTATATCTAATTGCAAATTTGATTCAACCAAGAGTTCTAGATTTGACTTGACGAACATTTATAAACTTGTTTCCAGAGTCAAATGGTCAACCCCGAATAATGTTTACATTAATGATATTTATAAAAAGAAGAAATTGATAATATTAGTTATTATATAATTATATATAACACAATTAGAAAAACAAAATTCCATAATCCCCCCCTCCCCCTCTCTTCCTTCCTTTGCACCCCAATTCGGGGGGGGTAAGCCGAAACAGTAAATTTGCACTCTCGTTTTGCACCCCCCTACTGTTCCAAATTAACCAAACAGGTGCAAATGTGTTGGAAACTGTGTTTACCCCTCACATTTGCACCCTCCTCCCATTTACCCCTCTTCCCAAACAGAGTGTAAAGGGAGGCCAACCATTAAATTCGAGCTTCTAGCCCTAAACCCCCAAAATCACCTCGAGTCTCGACCAAAATCTCTCTATCCCAGCCGGCAAATCTATCCGCCGCCGACCCAGTTGCGAGGGCAAACAATTGTCTCATTGTAGACAATCGCATTCAACCACACCCACTTCAACCCACGTCCAGTGAGTTCCTCCACGGCAACTCCATTAAGTGGATTCCTCACGTCGTACCACACTAACCTTCCCTTATTCTCCAGCCGTAGAAGTTCATTTCCACTTGCAGACAAACCCAAACATCTGATCCCTCGGCGGTAGGCCTTTCCTGGATGAGGAACCGAGTAGAGTCTGCTACAGAAATCCTCAGCACCGTATTGTTCCAGCCGCCAGATATCCAAAAATTCGTTGAATTTTGTTTTAATTCTTTTTGACACAATGGATGTCCTAAATTATACATAACAATATCATTATATGAGCTAGCTAGGGCTTTAGTTGGATGGTAGTCCACTACTTAGTATAAAGCTTACTAGTGTATATGCTGAAAGGTGTTCCCTATTCTTGTTCTTGGTAAATTAAAGCCTACTAGTGTATATGTAGTAGGTTGTTACATGATCTTGTTCTTAGTACTTTACTACAATACTACTATCAAAACCCGCACGAAATTTAGTCATGTTGACTCTTCATTAGCTTCTAAATTCTACATCGACACTCCCCTAACAAATACCTTTTTAAAAAAAATTAATGATTGATATCATTAAATACCAAACAAATGCCATAGAGTTCATACAGACTCTATCAACAGGCAAAAAGGTACAAAAAACCAGCAGGAAACAAAATGAGCAAAAACAAGCAGATTCAATTACAGCAAGCTTGATAACCATCATGGTAACATAGTACCATTAGCCATTTGACGGGCAATAACATCAACTTCTTTGATTTCATGCCTCCTACAACATCCTCCAACCCTTCAAGAAAAGAACGAATTGAGGCAATAGTAGCTACTCAACTTAACGGCCATTCATCTATATCTTTCCTCAGGACTTCAACCACTATCAAGCAATCTGATACGATCAGAGTTGAGCATGGTTCGCGAGCAGCTATGCGCGTCACTTCAAGTATGGTATAGGCTTCGTCAGTCTCAGGTGCTCGACAATGTATCTTCTCCGCCTTACCATCATATACCTTCACCGGTACATTCTTCGTTGTTATGTTGGTAACATTTGAGGAATCTTCATTAAAAAAGAACTAGCTTTGTGCCTGGCCCAACCGCCGGATTGTTTTATTATTAATAATTATTTAACAATATAATTAAACAACTTTTAAAAATTTAATAGTTTATGTTGATTTAATTTATCAATAATAAAAATCTTGTGCTTCTCTTTTATTATAATATGAGACCCACAATAGTTTTTCGTATAACTTTTGAGAGAATATTAATGAAAATATACACCTAAGATGTTGAGTCCTCAATCAATAAATTAATTTTGAACACTAACGTAAGAACTTTATACCCATTGCTTTATCAGGTAAGTTATCAATGAACGATGAATTCCAATCCTTTTACTACTCGATTTTGTACTTATTTATTAATCTCCTATATTAATTGATGTCAAAAAATCTTTAAGCTTCTTTTCCGTTCAAACATATTCCTTGAACTAATTGTACTTGTAATAATATTTGCTTGTCAACTAATACCAATATCCTCACAAAAATTGATTTGGTCTTGAGAAAGAATTAATATCTCATTATCTATTTGGTTTAAGTTAAGAATGACATTTACTCGTATATTGATTTAAAAAATATATAAGGTTAAAAACTAAACCAGAGGGCGAGGGACAAACAATTGTCTCATTGTAGACAATCGCATTCAACCACAGCCACTTCAACCCATGTCCAGTGTCTTCCTCCACGGCAACTCCATTAAGGGGATTCCTCACGTCATACCACACTAACCTTCCCTTATTCTCCAGCCGTAGAAGTTCATTCCCACTTGCAGACAAACTCAAACATATGATCCCTCGACGGTAGGCCTTTCCTGGATGTGGAACCGAGTAGAGTCTGCTACAGGAATTCTCAACACCGTACTGTTCCAGCCGCCAAATATCCAAATATTCGTTGAATTTTGTTTTAATTCTTTTTGACACAATGGATGTCCTAAATTAAACATAACAATATCATTATATGAGCTAGCTAGGGCTTTAGTTGGATGGTCGTCCATTACTTATTATAAAGCTTACTAGTGTATATGTTGAAAGATGTTCCCTGTTCTTGTTCTTGGTAAATTAAAGCCTACTAGTGCATATGTAGTAGGTTGTTACATGATCTTGTTCTTAGTACTTTACTACGGTACTACTATCAAAACCCGCACGAAATTTAGTCATGTTTACTCTTCATTAGCTTCTAAATTCTACATCGACATTCCCCTAACAAATACATTTTTTTTTAAAAGTAATGATTGATATCATTAAATACCAAACAAAAGCCATAGAGTTCATACAGGCTCTGTCAATAGGAAAAAGGTAAAAAACCAGCAGGAAACAAAATGAGCAAAAACAAGCAGATTCAATTACAGCAAGCTTGATAACCATCATGGTAACATAGTACCATTAGCCATTCGACGGGCAATAACATCAGATTCTTTTATTTCATGCCTCCTACAACATCCTCCAACCCTTCAAGAAAAGAATGAATTGAGGCAATCCTAGCTGCTCAACTTAACGGTCATTCATCTGCATCCTTCCTCAAGGCTTCAACCACTATCAAGCAATCTGATACGATCAGAGTTGAGCATGGTTCGCGAGCAGCTATGCGCGTCACTTCAAGTATGGTATAGGCTACGGCAGTCTCAGGTGCTCGACAATGTATCTTCTCTGCCTTACCATCATATACCTTCACCGGTGCATTCTTCGATGTCATGTTGGTAACATTTGATGAATCTTCATTAGAAAAGAACTAGCTTTGTGCCCGGCCCAACGGCCGGATTGTTTTATTATTAATAAATATTTAACTATATAATTAAAAAATCTTTAACTATTTAATAGTTTATGTTAATTTAATTTATCAATAATAAAAATCATGTGCTTCTATTTTATTATAATATGAGACCCACAATAGTTTTTCGTATAACTTTTGAGAGAATATTAATGAAAATATACACCTAAGATGTTGAGTCCTCAATCAATAAATTAATTTTGAACACTAACGTAAGAACTTTATGTCCATTGCTTTATCAGGTAAGTTAGCTATCAATGAACAATGAATTCCAATCCTTTTACTACTTGATTTTGTACTTATTTATTAATCTCCTATATTAATTGATGTCATAAAATCTTTAAGCTTTTTTTTCGTTCATACATATTCCTTGAACTAATCGTACTTGTAATAATATTTGCTTGTCAACTAATACCAATATCGTGAGAATCTAAATATGTATGAACGAGGCTGCAGATCCTTGGGCCCATTTACCATTACTGGTAACTCGCTGTTGGAGATTGACCTGATAAAGCAATGGGTATAAAGAAACTTAAAGATTTTCCTATGTAATAATATTTGCTTGTCTACATTCATCTCAATGGGCGAGTCGATAACTGGCCTGAATATCGTGAGAATCTGAAGGAGCTTCTTCGAAGGTCCAACAATGCCATCTTCATTCAGCTACGTTTGGGTAACATGGCAGATCCAGAATTTCATTTTATGGACTTGGCTAAACTGCTTCTTCAAGAGGTTCCCCGATGGCTGAAGACTGGATATTTGGAGCAGCATTCAAGGAGACCATTCTACTTCCAACTCCAAAGCGATGTCACAAGTACAATGATAATGGTCGATTTTACAGTTCTTACCGCACTCTAGGAGCATAGACTCTAGAGAGCATCATAAAATTGGCACCGTCCATATCAATCTCCAACAGCGAGTTACCAGTAATGGTAAATGGGCCCAAGGAACTGCAGCCTCGAAGCTTCAGGAAACGCAAACGAGACATGGCTTGAAATGAGTTCCCGTCCATATCTTGAAAAACGACACCAGAGAGGTGCAGCCTGGTGAGGAACGAACTGTGAATCCCTCATCTCCAATTGCTGGTTTGATCTTATCAAATCTCAAATCGCCGGAAATGATACTCATCTGCCCAAGATGTTGCGTGCTAATGTTTCTGGTCAGATCAAAAAAATGGACGTCGGTTTGAGGATGGACAAACATGTTGAGCTCCTTTATCTTGTCATTGAGGGTGCGTACCCATGACCAAATGCTATATGCGGTTGGCATTTTATTGCTCTCATCCATAAAATTCTTCTTCTTGGTCGACGGCTCGACCGACGATTAGAAGTAATGGGCGTCAGAATTCAGCACAGCGAAATTCCCAGAAATTGGGCAAAGAAGTTGAGGATTTCGCTCCTTCTGGGTTTTGGAACTCTCTACACACCGTAAATTGCACATTTTTTATTTGAGTTCTCTCTGTATCTCTCCAAGAAGAAGAAGAATGGGGCAGTGAGGATTTCAAATTGAGAAAGCTGTGGCAGGCAAACGAGGAGAGGCATTTTTGCACTGAACCACTCCGTCAGGGCCTCAACCTTTCGGGGGCCATTAGACTGGACTCCGGAGGCAGATCCAACTTGGGCTTCGACATGGGCCTCATAATCGAAGGCGGAGCTGACCCCTTGGGCTGACAAGGCGGCCCACATAAAAACACACATGCGCAAGAGCATCTTGAGACAGGATGGAGAATCGAATCGTTGACCTTCGTTTCATTAAAAACATACTAATCCACTTAGTTGAAAGTCATTTGATGAAACAAAACTAATAGTAAGAATGTTTAACGTCACCCTTATTTTATTCTTAAAAAAATTTCAACTTTCTGAAACCATCCAACGCCTAAATATTAATTATTCACACTTAATTCTAATGAACTTCTAATCGATGTCCATCGCTATTATCCAGGCACATAATCGACTTATTTTAATTTTTAAGTTCTTTTTTCTTTCACTTTTGGAGGGAACTTAATATTGATTGGAAATTTGGAATCACTAATCTTTGGTTATAATTTTCAGTTATGTGAACCCAAAATTTTGAAATAGGTAGTTCTAAGCGTAAAAGAAAACAAAGAATTAAGGAGTCTGGATACATGTGATTCGAAAATTAGAAGTGAAGCTAAATCATTAGATTGTAAATGTTTTGTAACCGAATTTTTGGGGCCACATTTTAAGCTCTTGAACATGGCCTCCAAATATCATGGGACGGCCCTGCCGTCTCTCTTTCTCTCTCTGCCTCTCGAAATTAAGAAGAAGAGTAACAAAATCAGCTCTCTCTATCCCGCGCTCCTTCTGCTCTATGTTTCAAACAAAGGCGGCGGCGTGAAAAAGAGGGCGGCCCAATTCAAAGCCCCATATAGAAGCCCATGTGTGTTAACTTAAAACGAGAGAGAAGAAAAAAATTAATTATTAGGCAACTATTTTCCGCATTTTAAAAATATCAGTCAAATTCCTAAAAATAAATAGCCAAATCTATTAAAAATTAAATAATTAGTCAAAATTTAACTTTTCGTTAACATTTTAGTATGTACTTCCCATTTCGCGATTAGCATACCATCATTATCAATTTTTAGTTTTTTTTTAAAGTAAGGGTAAATGCAATTTATTAGTCAATTTTTTTAAATTATTAGCCAAATCTTGCAAAATTTTCAAATTATTAGCCAAATTTTATGAAATACATAATATTAACTAAGTCTTTTGTATCACATCAAAATATAAGCCATTTTTTTGTTATCGTTAATAATTTGTACCTCGTTTTTTAGTTGAAACACTAAAACTTTCGAATGTTAACCGCCACCACGTATCTCTTCCAAGTTAGTATCATGCTGTCAAGTCAATATTATTAACAAAACTGCTAATAGAAAGTTAACATTTGGCTAATTATTTGCATTTTGAAAGTTTTGGCTAATGAGAAGATAATAAGTAAAGACAAAAGTTTATTGATTTTTTATGTGGACGCTAACGTGGACGCTGTGGTGGATCATCATTAAGAAATAGTATACGTTAACAGACCAAAAGCTAATACTTTGACTCGTTACAAAACGTTTGGCTAATTATTTATATTTTGATAATTTTGACTAATATTTTAAAATACGGGAAAGTTTTGACTAATAATGAGTATTTATCAACAAAAATCAAGGTTGTTAATCCACGGGTCGACCAGTCGATTGGTCTGTTTTGACCCTGAACCGGTGAAAGAATGAGCCAAAAACACTTGCGGGTCGATCCGATGCGAGATTTACGGTTTGGAGATTACATGGCATCATTTTTTTCTTTTGCTTTGTGAAATGCGCATCTTTTTCGCGTTTTCTCTTTGCTTACCCCTATCTGTGTGTGTGATTATTCACCATATGTTAGATCCAAGTACATTATGTTATTTTGGTGTAATATTAAATGTTATGTCATCTGAAATTTTATATAATTTATAAATGAATGAACAATATGATGATTTTTTCCCATTATCCAAGTTAAATCGAGCTAAAACGGTCAAAGCATAAACCCTCAACCGACTTACTTGATCGAACCAACGAGTTAAACCAAGTTGACAACCTCGATAAAAACAGAATACTAATGAACCGGAACGATGACAATGTCGTCGACGGACGATTTTACTGTAAGACTCGTACTTATCACACGATCCAGGCGATTCCCTGAGGTAGGATTTTGGCGGTGGTTTTCTCGCTGACAATCTTGTCGATACTAACCTTATTGCTCGCTCCTCCGCCTCCAGGAAGATGCAAACTTGGTTGTTTTTTAAATATTAGGCTGCTGGTTAGCAAAATGAATCATCAATATGGTAATTTCTAGTGACATTCTTTTGTTCTACATTCATTTTCGATTCAAATTAAGTTCAACAATTGTTCATGGGTTAAGAATGAGTTCTAAGTAGCAATCACAACCCACATAGCCCTACGAACCCTCTCGAAATTCAACAGCTTTGAAGATTGAAATGAAACAAAGAGCAGCTTTTTTTAATACCAGAGCTCGTCTACGGCGGAAAGGCGCGCGCTTTAGAAGCTGGGCAGGGCGGGGAAATCAAATGAGAGCCGCTAACTGCATTAGCGAGTGACCGTTGGAGTAATGTTTGAAATCGCTAGGGTTCTCCTCTTCTTTCTGAATTATGATTTAGCGGTTTCCATAAAACGCAACTCTCGCAAACGTAATACGGTAGTCTATCTCTTCGGGGGTTTCTTCTGGCTTCGTTCTCCTCCCTCCAAAGCGAAAACGGAATTCTTTTCTCGTCCATCGCCGTCGGCGCCCGACGGGGCTTTTTTCCCGAGGTTTCCCCGTTGTTTGTTCTAGTGAACGGGAAATCAAGGGTTGTATTGAACGGAGAAGAGAAATTTGATTGTGTGGCGATGACGGCGGCTGCGGCGGCTTTCGGCTTAGTGAACAGAGGCGGCGGCGGTGGCGCGGCCAAGAAGGTGTTGATAACGGGAGTGAGCCGAGGACTGGGTAGAGCGCTGGCAGTGGAATTGGCTAAGAGAGGGCATACGGTAATCGGGTGTTCCCGAACTCAAGATAAGCTGAATGCACTCATCTCCGACCTAGCCTCCTCCGACCGCCACCTCCTCCTTAACGCCGACATCGTAAAAATTTCTTCTGCCCTTTCTTTTTTCTCCCACCCGCTTGCATTTCCGTGTTCCCTAATTCCTCGTGCTCGACGTAAAACCAGAGGTCCGACAGTAGTGTGGCAGAGCTCGCTGGAGTGGTAATGGAGAAGAAGGGGGTTCCTGACATCATAGGTTTGTTTCCATTCTCATCATGACTCCATTTCAGGAACTGGGGGAGCCTTTTCTCCTTCCTTTTCTTGATCTCGTTGGTTTAAATTTTGGGGGTTGTTGCAGTGAACAATGCGGGAACTATTAACCAGAACAACAAGATATGGGAGGTGCCGCAGGAGGAATTTGATGCTGTGATTGATACGAATGTGAAAGGGGTGACGAATGTGTTGCGGCATTTCATCCCTCTGATGCTTCCCAACAAGCAAGGGATTATTGTCAACATGTCCTCTGGATGGGGAAGATCCGGTGCTGCACTGGTACTACCTATTTCTTCTGCTTTCTCTCTTGCTTTCTGCAGTTCTGTATTCAGAAATGGAAGTTGAACCTGTCAAGCATACTAAAGTTAAGTAGGGTGGGAAGTTTCCATGGAGATTCAATGCAGAAAGCCAAATCATTGGACTGCTACATTTAAGATTAAGTAGGCCTGAATTTAACAACACAATTGGAAAATGGTAAACCTTCATTTTCATGGATGAGGATGGAGTATCCAAATGCCAAAGTAAGATAGGGGAACTAAGAGAGCAATTGATGATCAAAGAAGCCAGTTTGCATGTCTTTTGCTTCTAGTGACCAAAGTCTGCTCATCTTGAAATTCTTCTTTGCTATGACGTTTGTTTGTCTCAGGTTGCACCTTATTGTGCATCGAAGTGGGCGATCGAAGGTTTGTCAAGATCAGTGGCGAAAGAGCTGCCTGATGGGATGGCAATCATTGCACTCAATCCAGGAGTGATCCACACAGACATGCTTTCCTCATGCTTTGGCACTTCAGCTTCTCTTTACCAGGCTCCAGATACATGGTATCCAACTCTTTATTTGCAGTCTCACCAGACCAACCACCAAGCTTTGCTTATAGCTTATAAAGAATTCAATGCCAAATTATCAAAAGTCACCCTTTCAAATTTCCCCTGTTCTGACCGCCATCTGTTTGATTAATCAGGGCAGTGAAGGCAGCTACCATGATTCTCAATCTAACTGGTGCGGACAACGGTGCTTCTCTTACGGTGTGAAAACATTCATGGGGCCACAGTTTCCTTGTTGAAGAACTATATATTTAGCTCAGAAATTTAGTTCATGTTTCTTGTAGGCGATTCTTTTCTATCTTGTAACCTTTACTCTGTATGTGCAAGAAAAGTGCTTCATGAATCCTATGCAGCAACTAGATAATTGTAATTGAAGCCAACTTTTGCAGTAGGCCTTCTTTCTTGGTCAAAATGCTTAGACAAAACTCCATCCAGTAGTCTTCTCTATACCCTGTTCCTTCATCATCTCTCTTGCTCGTTCCGACTCCTTCCACTTTCCAATGGAGCTATACATATCAGACAATACTATATAGTATCCATCGTTTTTCGGATCCGTCTTAATCGCTTGCTTTGCTATCCTTATCCCTGTTATGAAGTCGTCATGAATCTTACAAGCGCCTAACAAAGCACCCCAGATGCCACCATCAGGACAAATGGGCATTGACAAAACCAACTCTTCAGCCTCAAGTAAACTGCCTGATCTTCCAAGAACGTCCACAAGGCAAGCATAATGCTTAAGATTTGGCCTCACAGAATGTTGTTTCATTTTCCCAAATAGGCGTTTCCCTTCCTCAACAAGACCCGAGTGTGCACAAGCTGAAAGGAGAGACAGGAACGTTAGGGAATTTGGCTTGATATTTGTCTGCTCCTCCATTTCCTCGAATATCTCGATTGCAGATATCGCATCTCCATGCATTGCGTACCCTGATATCATAACATTCCAGGAAATGGAATCTTTGACTTTCATTGAGTTGAATATTTCTCTTGATTTGTCGAGTCGACCGCATTTGGCATACATGTCGACTAAAGCAGTTGCAAGAGATACATTTTGCTCATCAGTCCTAATCAAACGGTGAACCTTTTCCCCTTTCTGAAGGTCAGCAAGATGAGAGCAAGCAGAGAGCACCGTTGCAAATGTGGCGGAGTTAGGATTAACATTTTGCTGTACCATTTCCTCAAACAATGCAATAGCCTCCACAAAACACTTCCCATGACAGTATACTGCGATCATTGTGTTCCAAGAGACAACATCTCTATGAGACCCACGAAAAATCCTTTCTGCAATGGTCAACTTACCACTCTTTCCATACATGTCGATGAGTGAATTGACAACAGAGTTATTGTCTTCCATGAAATTCTTCATAGTATAACAGTGTAAGGAGCGGCAAAAGGTGGCAGTCGCTCCCATCTGGGAACAAGCAGAGATTACAGCGACCAATGCGTTGGGATCTGGTTTGAAGCCCAGTTTTTGCATCTCTCTGAAAAGGTCTATGCACTTGTCTTCCCTTCCCGCCTTGGCATAACCACATACCATGGAATTTGAAGACTCAGTATTCTGTTTGTTTAGCCTATGAAAGAGCTTCTCTGCTGGTCTTATATGTCCCAACTTGCAGTACATAGATAGCAATGCATCAGTGACAATCTGATCTAGGGCAAAGTTTCTTCTTATGATAGTACAATGAAAAGCTTTTCCTTCAGTCACACTCGATGAATTACCAAAACCCAGAAGCATGCAACTCATAACAATCCCATCTGGATTCAAGCCAACACCTAGCATATCCCAAAACAAGGACATGCAATCATTCATAAGTCCTAGCCTAGCATGAATTCCTATAATTGATGTCCATGAGAAAAGATCCTTATTGTACACTTCGGAGAAAGAACCGAGAGCTTCTTCGACGCTTCCAAGCTTGGAATACATTGACAAAAGGGAAGACTGAATAACTTGCGAACACCAAAGTCCAGTTTTCACAGCAAAACCATGTAAACACTTACCTTCAACCAAAGCACCCAAATTCCCACAGGCTTGAAATCCTCCTTCAAGTGTCCTAAAATTCATTCTCTCTCCATCGAGATCATTCCCATGCATCTCACGGATACACTCTAGACCCCTTTCACTCTGACCATTCTGTACATAGCCTATTATAAGAGCAGTCCATGACACTACATCTCTTTCAGAAATTTCGTTGAACACAAGAGATGCATCATTCATGACCCCACACTTTGCGTACATGTATACAAAAGATGACCAGACTGCTGAGTTCTCCATGAAAAGGCCAGACTTTACCACTAAACCATGTGCAGTTTTCGCCTCCTTCAGCCACTGAAGCTCAGCACAGGAGGAAACAACCATGGGAATAGTGAACTGACTGGGTGATGCATTATGCAACCGCATCCGGATATAAAAGTCGAATGCCACAGCATAATTACCATTCGAGAAGTGAGAGTGGATAATGGAGTTCCAAAGAAATGTGTCCTTCTCGTCGACCAGCTCAAAAATTTGTCTGGAGCAACGGGTTTGGTTGAAAGCTGCATAGAAAGCAATGAGCTTTGATGATACAAATACATTCCCTGCATTTCCTGTGGTGATGATGAGAGCATGGGATTGCAGAAGCTGCTGCAAAGTAGCAGGGGTTTGGTTGGAGAGAAAGGAGTTTATATGAGAGTTCAAGTAATATGTAGCTGAGTGATAGCCCGAATAACCACGAATATATGAATCACTGCACCAGTTGAAGAAGAGATGGCAGGGAAGTTTCCGTGCAAGCATTGGAGGGATTGCTTTTGATTTCTCATGACTGAAGCTTCAGATATGAAATTGAACTCTTGGCATCTGCAATTTCTCCACCGTCATTTATTGCCAAGCAACTCTGATCACCACAACGCACAACCTTTATAGCCATTCGGAGATGACGCAAGTCACGTAACTAACAATTCCAAGTTGAACAAGAAGAACAACGGAAAGGGTTGATATAGAAGAAGGAAGCAATTGTATCTCAGACATATAGCTACACATCCGTGCTAACAGTCACTAAAAAGATGAGAGCCAGAGCAGTTTATGTATGAGAGGAACTGAAATTTCGCAACAGAGAAAATCAATTTTGTTCAATCAAAACCTGCTCTAACTACGACAACAATGGAGAACTAACCAACTCTATTATTTACTCTAACACGATACCAGGAAGAACAAAAAAAAAACCCAGATGGCAAAAAAAGGTTCCTTTTTTCAAAAAAGAGCATACCTTCCAGCGTTTGCCGGAGTTCGAATACGGTGGCTGGCTCAGGAATGCCGAGGAGGGAAGGATTACAAGCCTGCCTGCCGACGGCGGTTGAAGTTGAAGACGAAAGTCTAGTGTGTGTGGGATACTCCAATACAGTACGAAGACGACGAAGCCAAAACGGCACCGTATCTTCCGTTCTGGGCTCCAGACTTCTGCGCTCTAGCCCAGCCCAATATGAAATATCCGTTTATCGTTGTATTTTTTCTTGCATTTTTAATTTCTTTTCACCCACTCACTGGTTCTTTGTTTGTTCCTTGGCCGTTGGAAGAGAAGAAAGGGAGAATCCGGAAGTGGAGAGGTGAGGGTGTGTCAGCGTGTGTGGCCATGGCAACTGCTGCGGTGGCAGTGAGCTACTGCTACTGCAAGCCTTCGCCATTTCTGGGCCAATTCCCATCTCACTTTGTAAGGCTTCTGCTTCTCCTGCTGATCTTACTCTCTGAACGCATTTGTACTGTGTGAATGAGATCAGCAGGTCGGTTTCATGATAGATATTTCTGTAAGTGCTTGATGTGGAATTTTGGGAATTTCATGTTCTGGGAATGTTCGTTTTTGTCCGAGTTGGACTTTGTTCTTGGAATTTCAGCCATATCGAAGGGTTGATTGAACGGAGTGTTTTAAGCTCTCCAACGAAGCTTATCTACTCTATTGGTTTGAGATTAGTTTTCTGATTACAACTGAAGTTTCTGGCAGCTTTGTTCTACTGTAACTTAGATTTTGTTTCCGGATTGTTATATGCTTTCATGTATCAGTTCCTGTATAGCCTTAACCAGCTCTTATTTTGTCCATTAGGGGAAATGTTTATCGTCCTTTGGCCATGCTGAGAACGCAGGGAAGGCATCTAAAACCAGTGCAATATTTTGGGGAGCAAAGAAGTCTGTGGAACCAAAGGGATTGGACCTTTCATTAGGTGATTTCACGATAACAGTGTCAGAACCAGAGGTGTTTGCATTTGAAGGGTTCCACCATGTAACCTATATTTGCATCACTACCCCTTATCTGATTATCTTTGAGCTAACGTTTGACTCCTGCTTGAACTCAGCGAGCCTCAGAAGAGCAAAGGGTATCCAAAAAGGTTTCGCTTTCACTTATTTCTTCGATCTCCGAGGTTTCAGCAGATGCTTGGGATGCATGCAATCTTGATTCTACGGGTGCTGAGAAGTATAATCCATTTTTATCTCATGGGTTCCTTTCCAGCTTGGAAGAGACAGGCTGTGCAGTCAAGGTTGAAAATCCTAAATTTTTATATTGAAATAGGAATCCTTAACTGTTCTACTTAACTCTATTTATTTACTTTCTTGTTGAGTCTGAAAATTCCCACTTTACTAATTCAATTTCCAGGAGACTGGATGGGTTCCTAGCCACATTGTTGCGAAGGATGCAGATGGTGGTGTTCTAGGTGTTGTTCCACTTTATCTCAAAAGGTTGATAATCTAACAGAGTTTCGTGCAGCTTCTTCTACTGTTCTTCCTATTTGGTTGCTTCTTGCAGTTTTTTGCTTTCTCATCTTTTTCTGGTTTGGGTTCTGCAGCCATTCCTATGGAGAATTTGTGTTTGATCATTCTTGGGCTGATGCCTATTATGGTTTTGGAACAAGATATTATCCCAAGTTCCAATCCTGTGTACCTTTCACTCCAGTCACTGGTCCAAGGATTCTAATTCGTAATACCTCGCTAAGAGATCAAGTGTTTGATGTTATTGTTTCCACTCTCAAGGACCTGACAACCAAGGTATTGGTTCCTTGGATTTGTCAGCACTTAATGCAGAAAGAACTATTGCTAACAGAGCATAGGCCCAAGTTTGCAGCACAGTATTTATCATATTCATGTGAAATTAACTACCACAATAATAATATGGTTCTTTCTGTATTGGCAGTCCCAGCTTTCTTCATTACATATTACCTTTCCGACAGAGAAAGAGTGGCATAGATTTAAGGAAAACGGATTCCTTCAGAGGATTGGAATGCAATACCACTGGAAAAATCGCAACTATAAAAAGTAAGTGACGTTGTCGCACTGTTCACTTGAGCATTCCTCTACTCTTTCTTTGGTCTAGCACTGAAGTTACTGAACTCTAAGCACCAAATCTCAAATGCTTTAGGCAAACTTTTCATGTTCAAATGATGATATATGTCTACTAGCATATCAGTTTCAATCGTCAAATCTGCACTCATATTCTAGAGTATGAAGACTTAAAGTTAGTGATCATGCATTCAGAATGATTGGGTGTGGTGGTTCTCTGTGTTTCGATCAATTTTCTCCCATGCTTAAGCAATTCCCTTGACACTGCAGTTTCGATGAATTCTTGATGGATATGAAGCAAAGTAAACGGAAAAACATTCGCCAAGAGCGTAAAAAGGTTTTTCTTTCTCTTCACGTCCTTCTGTTACGTAAGCTTTCTGTCGGAACCTGAGCTATTTATACTTGCAGATCTCTACACAAAACCTCACCATGAAACGGCTCCGAGGTTACGAAATAAAGGTACCTTGATTTGACTGCCATGTACAACTGGTCCTGTTTTCTCTTTGGTTCCTTTCCCTTTTTCATAATGAGGAATGCAGTAATGGTATATCCATCTTGTGGGTGGCAGGCAAATCATTGGGATTCCTTCTACACATTCTACAGAAACACCACCGATAACAAGTATGACCCTACTCATACCACCTCTCTTTTGTTTAACAATCTGATTCAAACTTGTGCTATAAGAAAATGAAGTTGGTCAACTGTACGACACAATATAAGCGTACCAACCTTTTGTTTTCTCCCAGGTGGGGCACTCCATACCTGACAAGAGATTTCTTCCACACCATGGGATCAAAGATGGGAGATCAAGTGCTGCTTGTCATTGCTGAACAAGGGGATGAAATCGTTGCAGGGGCACTTAATCTCATCGGCGGAGACACACTATTCGGACGCCTATGGGGTTGCGACCCGAAAGTCTACTATCCGGGTCTACATTTCGAGGCATGTTATTACCAGGTAAAACAGGAAGTGCAAACCCCTTCCATTGGTAGAAGCAAAATCCATCCAGGGCAATGAGTGATAAATTCCCTCTTTTTTTTCTGTTTTTACCCACTCGTGGTATTGTGGTGCAGGCAATGGAAGCAGCGATCGAGCTCAATTTGAGTACTGTGGAGGCTGGAGCTCAGGGTGAGCATAAGATTCAGCGCGGCTATCTACCAGTGCCGACTTACAGCTGCCATTACCTGACAGATGAATCTTTCAGGAAAGCCATACAGCAGTTCTTAGTCAGAGAATCGTCTCAGGTGACTGGATTATATAAGAGTGACAGTTCTTATTAATGCATTTTGCTTTTCTTACCTTTCGTGATGATTGATGGAATGACTTCCTTTACAGGTTGAACTGGTAATGAAGCTGTTACGCGATGATGGTCCATTCAAGGATGGGATAGAATAGAATAGGCAAGGGATAAGATGTGTTGGAGGCGCTCATATCTTGCCTCAGTGTAAATATATTATCTTGGAGGCGCTCATAATAGGCAAGTGGCAAGTTATTTGACGTATTTTCTATAACAAGGAACAGTGATCAATTGTACTACTGCATATATGTACATTTGAATATCAAAAGGATCCAAGTCAAACAGCAGAGACATTATTAATTTTTCCTAACCACTGCATGACAGTAACCAAACTAAGTGTCCTAAAATGGGTTCTTCGTGCAAACCAGACATTCTTGCTCTGTGTGCATCCATAGTCAAGATAATGTCATCAGATGTCTGCCGAATTCCTCCAGTAGCTTGTAGGTCACGCCCTGTCAGGAGCTACGAACTGATCCTGTACTGAATTAGCAGGCTTGAACCCAGCAGCCTCTTAATTGGAGGTATACTTAAAACATGCATAGGCATGGTAGACTCAGTGCATTGGTTCCAAGTTGAGGTCCCAAGTTGAAACCAGCCTCAGGTTCACGAGAGTCATGCATTTACCTCAGCATGTCATTGCTGTATAATTGTGGGCCACTCAAAGCCGGAGAGATGCTGAAGGCATGGCTATTCGTCGAGAAAGAAGGGTGTGATAGAGGCAATGGCCGATCAGGAACCGGTGGAACTTCGATATCGCCTTCCAACATTTTCAATGCATCTGAGATGGTAGGCCTTAAAGCAACCATAACATGAGCACACAGAATGCCTACCAGAACAAATCTCTCCATTATCACCTTTGGATTCGAAGTCGAAGAATCCTCACCACCACCCCTCAACAAGGAAGGATCCAGAGCTTGCTCTAGTTTGCCAGCTTTGACTAGGGACCAAGCCCAGTCAGTGATCAGAAACCCATGCGCAGAACCTGAAGAAGACATATCCAGTGCTTTTCTTCCACACATGATTTCCAGTACAACCACCCCAAAGCTGTAGACATCGCTCTTTTCGGTTAATTGCCCGTACAGGGCATATTCAGGGGCTAAGTAGCCATGAGTTCCAGCAACTCTAGTAGTAAGATGAGACTGCCCTTCCTGACTCTGCTTGGCCAAACCAAAATCAGCAACTCTTGCTCTCATTTCACCGTCTAATAGTATATTAGTGCCCTTAATATCCCTGTGATAAATTGCAGGCTTTACCCCATAATGCAAGTAAGCTAACCCTTTCGCCACATCCAAAATTATGTTCTTCCTCTGAGGCCAGCTCAACGGCTCCTTCCCTGCTGCAGGAAACAAATGATCATCAAGATTGCCATTCGGCATGTAATCATAAACAAGGTACCTCTGACTCTCTACCGTATCATGATCCTCTTCTCCGTCAATCACACAACAACCTCTAAGCGGCACCAAATTCCGGTGCTTGAGATTGCTGATAATCTCAATCTCATTCCGAAACTCTGCATCACCTTGAAAATCAGATTCCAAAACCCTCTTAACAGCCACCGTTGTCCCATCGGACAACACCCCTTTGTAAACAATTCCAAACCCTCCCCTGCCAATAAAGTTCTTCTGTGAAAAGCTACTGGTTGCCCTCTCAAGATCACGAATTTTGTACCAGATTGATCCCGTATTCGGCCTCAATCTCGGCCTAGATCGCCGCCCCTCTGCATCAGAACCATGACCAGACCCCTCCTCCATTCCTCCCCTCCTCTTCCTCCTCCTATCATGCAAAAAACAGAACCCAACCAAACTAGACATGGCAATCACAGCAGCAGCAGAGCTCGTCAAACCAATTACAAGAGGGGACCGAGATTTATGAGACGAACCCAGTTTCGAAACCAAATCCAACCCAAAAATACACGACACAGCACCATAACTCTCTGGCCCGAATTTGTTGATAACCCCAGCAGCATAGAGAATCGCAAAGTAAAAACAACTAGTGGCATGAGACTTATCCCCGTCGATCGACACCAACGAAGACTGCACCCTGAACCCAGCCGCCACGCACGAATCACAAGCGGTCAGATCGGTGAGGTCGCCTTTACAAGCCGCGTCGAGCGGAGTCGACGAACCAACCGCAGCAACCCAATCCCGGGTCGTCTGAATTCGAGCACAGACGTTCGGCGATATCACAAAACTCTGAGGGTCCAAGCAATAAGAGACGAGGTCACCACTGTTGGAAAGACCCAAGGAATTGAGCTTGGCTTGGTAGTCGCGGAGGCAAGCGACGGAAGTGGGCAAGTCGGAAAGATGGAAAACGGAAGTTTCTTTCAGATGGAGAGACAGAGATATACCGAACAGGGAAAGCAGAGTCCGGCAGCAAGGGTCTCTGCTGACTATTTCCGACTGAGAAGTGGCGTTGTCGGAACTGGGTCTGGGGAGATTGTAATTCTCACAAGACGATCTGTTCCATGGGATTCTCGAAACATAGTTGAAGTCCATTGGGCATGATGATGATGAACCGCCGGCGGCGGCGGCCGCGGCGGAGATGGACAGCAGCAACCCAAAAGAAAGAAGCGCTAAATCAAGGCGGCGGCTGCCCATCTCTCAGGTTTCGTGGGGTTGTGAATTTGGCTACATGGGGTTGAGGAGGGAAGAGAAGAGAGGAGATGGGCGGTCAACGAGGGAATGGATGGATTCTTAATCGGAGAATCAAATGTCTTTTCCTGGCTGTAGAAGTGACAGTGACGGCGACGGGTGGGGCGGTGGCCGGGGTGGGCCCCACTTTGTTGTGTGTCTGTTACTGCTTGGCGTTAGTTATAGTTGCGGGAAAATTTCAGCGCGCGCACCAGAAGGGAGACTTCGTGCTGCCTGGTGTTTTACACGCGCGTTGATGGGGGCGTAATGGAGATATTCTATCTGTCTTATTTAGAAATGCGGGTATCTACGAACCGGTAGTTCGATCGGAAAACCCTAACCCTCCTATCGGAACTAAAATTGGTAGACAATTTTCGCGGTATGAAACGATCAACCCCAGTTTAACTAGGATATCAACAAAAAGATTAACTTATCACTAACTTTTCCAATACAACCTCACATACGGTTTCGGGATCATAAATGGAATGAGTATTAATATAAAAGAGCATCTCCATGTAACATTGACTTGGCAAAGCTAATTGTGCATTCATCTGATAAACAAGAACATGCCAGGCAACAACACAGGGAAGAGGCAGCATCTAACATTTGACTACCAGGGTACACTACAAGGTAAAAAAGCAGTAAGTTCTTATATACTAGGAGAAAGAATAGATGGAGAACTATAACCTCTTGAGAGAATCCCCAGCTCCTTGGAAGAAACAGGAAGAGAGCAGGAAATCAGCAACAAAGATACCCACGAGAGAGATGACGACGGCTGAAGTTGTAGACTCCCCCACACCCTTGGCGCCTCCAATCGTGGTTATTCCCCATGCACAGCTCACAGTAGATATGATACCACCGAAACACATGGACTTGATCATTGCGCTTATTAAGTCCCACGATCTAAGTGCCCTATGAGCTGAATCCATGATAATGTTGATGCTGACTCCATAAACAGCATCCGCTAGCAAGGCACTGGATGCCATCCCCACGGTGAAACACATCAGAGTCAGGAACGGTAGAGCAATGCACGAAGCGATCACTCGTGGGGTGACCAGATAATCAACAGGGTTTGCTCCAAGCACCCTCAGAGTGTCAGTTTGCTCGGATACCTGCATCGTCCCCAGCTCCGCAGCAAATGCACTTCCCATTCGTCCAGCAACCACGATTGACGTGACCACAGGGCTAAGCTCCCGTGAAAATGCTAGAGCCAAGACACCGCCGACAGCTCTATTTAATCCCAGTCTCGTGAACTCTCGAACGAATTGAATAGTGAAGGCCATGCCAACAAAAGCAGCAGTCAAGAGGCAGACCCCTACTGACTTCGGTCCAACTCTCTCCAATTGTTGCAGGGTATTCCTCCAGTGAACTTTTCCCTTTAGAGTCCTCGAGATTACCTGACCCGCCAACACAAAAACTGAAAATCCCCTCCACAGGTATTCAGGAGGGGACCATTTGTCGAACGAAGGCAGCGCTTCTTCCTGAGTTGGGGCGTGATTTGTGTTTTCAACTTCTTCCACCATAGAGGCGGAGAGAAGATGCCCATCATTCGCTTCAGGTACTGCATCAAATCTGGTTTGTGATGGGAACTTGTAGAGTTGTGTTCTTCTGGTGAAGCACAGATTGTCACAATTCAAGTTTCCGACTTTTGTACACCCATTTGGCTTTACAACAACCCTTCTGCAGACCAACCATCACAAAATCTCCACATTTCAACCCAACAATACAGAGCCACAAAATTCGAAGTCTAACACAAACAAGGCGAACGCAGTAAGGCATACCGGTTGGGCAATTGAAAAATCGGACGGAGATGACAAGCTGTTTGCATAGTTTGGTCTTTCTTCTCCCTACTTGTCAGTTCCCAATACTTCTCAGCGGCGGGGAGGCGGCGGAAATGTTGATAGACTGTGTCCTGGAAATGGCGAGGAGGAATGTTAAGGTTGGGAGGAAGACGAATGGCAGAGGCTTGGGGGAAGATGAAGCTTACCTTCGCGGGGGGCGAGGAGACCGCGGAAGGATATCGAAGTGGAAGCGAAGCTGAGTGGAGAGGAAACACTGAGAAAGAGTGGGCCGCGCGGGGGAATTGGAGAACAGGGGCGCGCCTGAATCGGGGAAAGGCGAGCCGCTAGAGTGACTGATCGAGACGATGCCGGCGAAGCGAGTGAGAGTGCTGGTGATGGTCGGATGCCGCCACAGCTGCCGTGTGGGGGAGACGAAGAAAGAAAAATTAGGGATACGATTTGGGACTGAAGACTGAACTGAAATGAAAAACGGGAAAGACGATGCCGATTGCCGAGAGAGACGGACCAATTTTCGTGTTTTTTTTTTCCATTTTTGTTTTATCACTTTCCTCTGCTCCATTAAACGACATCGTTTGACGTTTGGCCGGCGCTCCGATAGCCTGTGAATTGACAGAATTGTGAAACCGGCCATTTTTCCAGGTTTTACAAGTTTTGGGTTGAGTAATACTACTGGGTTGCTAGTTGGGAATGTTAATGAGCTAAACTGTTCAAGAGCGGGTTTGAGCTCGAGTTAAACTCATGATTATTTTTTTTTTTTGACAAAAGATAATTTTATAATGATCAGAAAAAAGACAATTACATTCTGGAATGGAGATAGGTCACAAAATCAAAGAACCGACTTGCAGACGGGTACAAAAGAAGGGCCTTTCGAGCCACCAAGTGGGCTACCCTATTATTACGCCGACCTACAAACCGAACACTAAACCCCTGCTGGTTAGATAAGCAATGCAGAACTTCCTCGAGAAGAGCGTCAATCCGGCTATCGCGAACCTCAGATCTGGAGAGCTTCTCAATTATCACCTGAGCATCCCCTTCAAATCGTACCTCTGTCAACCCCGCCGCGGAACACCAATGAATAGCATCGCGGAGCGTGAGCATCTCAACAACCAAAGGATCATCAATGGCCTTTTCCATGTCAACCTTAAGAGCCATGTACCCTTTCTTTCCTCGCGTTTTAATTTTCAAGTAGTGCATAAGTTCGTGCCCAAGAAGGACATTTTCCACGATCTAGCGTTCACGGATGGAAGCATTTTGCCCTTCAAACACAATTCGGGGTAACCATCCAGTCAGGCGTTCTGCCATAATTTTGGTGATGATCTTGTACACAAACTGACAGAGGTTGATATTGACGAACCAACGTTTTGATAAATGAATTAGTTCGAGTTTGACTCGTTGATAAGCGAGCAAGGCTCGAGACTACAGAATTGCATCTCATAACGGGAAAAATAATCAAGCCTGCTATAGATTGAAAAAGGCAAACGGATTCATTCATATAATTTAACAACCCAGATTCTGCAACCCAGTGAAAAATTGGCAGCCGAGAATCATATATACTAAACTGGTTTGTCTGCCAGTGGACTGCTCCTAAAACCAGATGGGTGGGTTAGTAATCAATCACCCAGCCACTCCTGTTTCGTCTTTCAACATGACAAGAAAAAGTGTGCTTTTCATTCGGCATCAAATCTCATACAGCTAGAGTTCAGTTTTCTGACCAACAGAGGAGAAACCACATCTGTTTCGACCTTTCCCTATACATCCAGCCACCCCAAGAGTGAGGATTTCCTTCCATGAAAGCAGATGGTATGATCCTCCAAAACGGTAAGGGACCGGATCGTTCTGTCGCGCTCTTGCGCTAGAAAAAAAGCTCTTCCTTCAAAATTCAGAACTCCAATTACTTTGGTTACACCCTTCCGCAGCACAACAGTTACAGCAGGAGGCAAGCATCACACTAGTGGTTAACTCTTCATCTTTTCCATGCAAAATATTAGCCTCAGGCACAGCAGTCAACAAAGAGTCCCTTCCTTCCTTCATTCCTACTCGTTCCTGATTGAGTAGTACTTGTCCGAGAGTGTTGGTGATTTCCCGATTTCACTCATCAGATTCTTGAATCTAAGGCTGCAATCACCGCCACTGCCAACACACAAACGGGGAAAAGAACCCAGAGTTAAAGATCAGCTACAATTCTACACAAAAGGTTCATTTCATTAGATCTCTCTCACATGAAGACGCTACACACTTTCACGGCAATGTGGATGCATCTTCTAATAAATACTTTCATACATACATGAAATGGGAAAAGGGAAAGAGCCCACCTTATCCGATTCAGAGCAGCAATTGCTCGAAGAGCGCTGCGGATCATATCTTCATTACGGTCAACTTCTTGCTTCACAGCATCTTGCTTTGGCTTGAAATTGATAGTTTTTTGAAGAGGATCTACCAATGAGTCCAGGACTGGATATTCAAACCACAATCAGATGGTTTTGAGCATGTAAAAAAATTCAATTAATTCCATTGTTTAGGGTTAGCCCTCACATACCTGCAAGCACAGCAGATGGACATTTATCCGCCAGTTTGGATAGGATGAGGTGGCAAGGCATCTTCACATCATAATGATCTGCAAACATCCAGAAAATTAGCTCATTGGCAGTAGGCTATTTTCATCCCGTCAGCATAGTACGGAGAGGATTTATCTAGCAAGAGTTTCTCTAACAAACAAAAATCTGATTTCAGTTTGAAACAAATGAAGCAACTCCTCATATTTTATGCCGAGGCCCATTAATGAGGCAAATGACACATAAATGGGGAAGGGATACTCATGAGAGAATTCATTTCAGTACCTTCAAGGCCAGATTTCAGATAGGGGACTATGAAGGACGACGGATTTACTTGGTCCAGACAGCTGTCTAACAATGTATCTACACATTCAAAAGCAGCTTTCCTCAACTCCAATCCATCATCCACAATGTGCTTGAAAGGCCCAAGATCGACCGTTCGTATTAATTCTTTCTGCATAAACAGAAGTTTGGAATTCAGAAGTTTGAAAGAAAAAGAGAAACTACTATTAGCATGATACAAGATCCAAGTTTTCAAGCTTTACCTTAACTACTGTCTGATCATAGAGAAGTGGCAATAATTCAGGAAGAATTCCCTTTATCAGGTTGGGTTTATTGTGAGCAAACGTACTCAAGGCCAACACAGCGGCACGCCTGACATGCTGCATAGGACATTGCAAAATAACAAACTATCAAGGCTCAATAATCCCAGACCACTTACAAACCTCTTTTAATTTGTTTATTTCGCCAACGAGAAACTACAACATACCCGGTCATTATCCTTGATGAGCATGAGGAAAGAGGATATCTCAGGGAATATAATTTCATCTATTTTCTCCGCCCTCTCAACTATAGAATATTTCACAGCAATCACAACTGTTGCTCTTGTAAAAGCTGCCGGACTAGTTGTTCTCACCTACAATGATATAATATAGAATATGAAAACAAGATTGAAGCTCTACTAAGCAGCAGGCTACAAATGAAAAAGCTTGCACAAAAACAAAGGAATCTTATAGCAAGTACCTTGAGAGCAGGGATAAGTTTTGCAGGTTCGATAAGAGCAATTTTGCCCAAGCATTCAGCCACGACATTTCGGACACCCTCTTCATCACTCTCACAGTGATTAAACAGCAGCTTCAGTATCTTTTCAACACTAGAATCCTGGAACTCTGCCTTATCAACTGATTGCCTCACAATAACCTACAAATGGAAAAGAGTAGAAGTTACTTACTAAAACAGATCACTACCAACTAAAATTTCAGCAAAATTTTCAGTAACGTATACTAACTTACCTCTTTGAGAGAATGAAGCAATAGATACTGTTTCTTCTGCTGATTATCAATCTGGTCCAATATAAACGGTAGATACTTCGACAAATTACCGACAGCAATATTGCCCAGAGCATAGGAAGCAGCAGACTTAATCTCCTCAAAGGGAGACTGAAAGGACTCAATGATGATGGTTTCAATATGAGCATGTGCACTTAAATCTTTCCTTCTCCCTATTTCCCCCAAGCACAGCAAGGCAACATGCTTCTTAGCCTAAAAGCAATTGCAGAACAGAGTGATCAATTAGAAACTTAACAATGACTGGAATCACAGCAAAGATAGATCTACTGGACAACAGAACTCACAGAATTAGAACTACTGTCATCTTTGAGGATCTCTGTAAGCATCCTAACTGTTGATGAACATTTCTGATCTCCTGCAGCAAGGCAAAGCACTGCCACACACTGGGCTATAGAATACAATGCCTGTTTCGCAATGCCACCAGACTGAGGAGTTGGTTTAGCACTAGAAAGAAGTGAGTCCAATAAAGTGTCGAAGCTTGTATTAGCAGAAGACACCAAAGCAGCAAAAAAGTTCTGCAGGGCCTACAGAAGATATTAAAGGTTCAGAATCAACCACCAACTTTAAGAGAATAACATTTAACATAAAGATCAAAGAGGGCTTGAATCAGTAGCAACGTTAAAAGTCACAGTTGTTAAAACCCGTAGGCAAGGCATGCCTAAAGAAAACTAGGTAGGCACACTGACAACAGCAATCAGTAATACGCATATACTTAAAACATATTAATGTCTATTCTTACATACATGCATCAAAAAAGAAAAATTCAATAGAGAAGATTTTTATTCTACTCAATCACCTAAAAGCCTTTCATGTCTTACCCAAACCCATTCTAGGATGGGCCCACCTATTATTTCTGCCATGTTCACTGGATTTCACATTCAAACTAAGCCAGTTTCAAGCAGAGGAGAGAATATGATTCAAACATTAAAAAAACGAAGAGTAACAAGCCAGAGAGAGATTAGGACAATAACATGATAGATGTGGTCTTAGAACAAATTTATGGATCTCCGAGCATGCTTCATTCACATAGAAAGATAGTGTGCTTTTAGTAGGGATCAATAAAGGTCCGTCACGAAGCTTTAAACATAGACGATGATTCATGGGGGGTGTATCAGCAGTATTTACCAAGAGAGCTTGACCCTGTAGCAATGAACTTTTGATTAAAGTCAATGCCTGGGGAAGAACTTTATTTCTCACGGCCAAACCTATACTTTGGCTTGATCTGCTATCGGCCATTAGGGTGCAGCATAATTCAAGTGCAAGCGCTGTCATGTGCAAGTCTGAATCACTGGACATAAGGGAATGGGAAAATCAGATGCAATCATAAGGGTTCTAATGATGCCCAAAGTCCCAAACCCAGCTTCATTATTAAACAAAGAAGATTATAATCCTAGTGAAAAAGCACCTTATCAGCGTTGACAGCTCCACGATAATGACTTCATAAGCAGATGAACCAATTAGATCTCCATAAGCAGAAACCAGTGAATTTAGTGTTCCTAAAGTCGCTTGCCGAAGTGCTCGGTTGGCCTAAATACAAGGCAAAATTCATATTATTATTTTCTAGAAAGCGAGTCAAAAATAAATCTGTGCAACAGCAGATTAACGAGTAACGACATACCTTCCTCAAAAATGCTGTCAACTCTCCA